TGTACTTTTCACTCAAATCCTATACCACTAATTTTATTCATGTTTCCATTTTTATTTTTATGATATTTTATTTTTATTTTAATTATGTACACGCACATATATGTATATATATATATATACATACATACACACATATATGTCATGAATATAGCTTCCTCTCTCTTAACTCAACCAAGTTCTTCCCCACACATCCAGATCAACCTTTCGGTCTCTCTTTAGAAAGCAAACACCTTCTAAGGTATTATAATATAACATAATAATATAATGACAAAACAAAATGGAAAAGTACAGAAGATAATCCATAAGAACCAGAGATCCACACATTTGCACACTCAAGAATCTCATAAAAACACTAAAATAGAAACCATAATATGAACATAGAGGACACTCTTTCAGCCTCTTCTTCTGCAGTCTTCCCTGAGTCCTGAAGGGAAGGGTTTGGTAAACTCAGCTTCTTTAGGGCTGAAATGTTTCAAGATATCTCTCTCTCTCTCTCTCTCTCTCTCTCTCTCTCTCTTTCTCTCTCTCTCTCCCTTTCTCTCTCTCTCTCCCTCTCCCTCTCCCTCTCTCCATTCCTCTCTCCCTCCTTCATTCCCTCTCCATACCTTCTGGATTTGGGTCTCTGTATTTGTTCTTACCTGCTGCTGGAGGAAGCTTCCCTGATCATGACCGAGCAAGACTCTGGGATGTGAGTATAACAAAAAGTCATTAGGAATCATTTTATCCCTACTTAAAACAAACAAAAAACCCAGTATATTTGGTTTTACTCTAGGTCCTTGAGCTATCTAGTCTAGGGGTTTTGGTAGCCCAAGCAATGTTGTGCATGAATTCCTTCTCATGAAGCAGGCCTTAAGTAAAATCAGATGTTGGCTGGTTACTCCCACAAGCTTTGTGCCACCATAACAATAACAGATCTTGTAGGCAGGACACCATTGTAGATGAAAGGGTTTGTGGCTGGGGTAGTGTTTATGCTTGCCCTTTGGTAACATGAAGGGTACCTTTCTGTCCCAGTGACACAGGCATGTAGGGCTGAAGGGTTTGTATAGGCACCAGCTCAACTTTTCCACGTTCTCTGAATTGTGTGGGTATTGCCTCAGCAGTGGGGTTTCCTGTCAGCATGTGGAGAGCAACCTATCATCATGGCAACAGCATGGATCCTTTGGGAATTCCCACTGGACCTCTTTAAGCAAAAACTCAATTACGTATAACCCACCAGTACTCTTGGTAACAAGAGTTGGTCAGTTAAGACCCAATCTCTCCCATTATTGATGTTTCCATTTAAATCCTCATCATACACACATATATATATTTCATAGGAAGCTTCTTCTGTACTATGTTTCTGTACTGCCCCCAAATGTTATTTAATTTTTTCTGTCTCTCCCTGTGCCATTCCTGGGCCAAGTGTTCCTGGGCACTATAAGAAAGCAGACAGACAGAGCATGTCATGAGGAACGAACCAGTAAGCGGAATTCCTTTATGGACTCTGTATCAGTTCCTACTTTGAAGTTCCTTCCCTGACTTCTCTGGATAGAGTTACTAGCTCTAAGATGAAATACCTCTCCCGCCCTCTGCCAAGTAGCTTTTGGTCATCAACAATAAGAATTCTAAGGAGGACAGGGTCCGTACATTTTTTTAAGGTTTCTTTTGTTTACTTCATGTTTAAGAGTGTTTTGTTTGCATTTATATATGTGTGTATGTGTTTGCATATAACACACACACACACACACGCATATATATATACATATATATATATATATATATGTACCTACCACATATGTTCCTACAATTGGTTGTTAAAAACCATGTAGGTGTTGGGAATTAAACCAGGGTTCTATGTAAAACAACAATTCTCCAGTCCCATGAGTCTTATTCATATACTCAATGTCTTTTCAAATTAGAAACTTGTGATATTGAGTATGTGATGTACTGATTTGATCATCTACTGTTTTCTCAAGTGTCCCATGTTGATTTTCTAATATCCACAAAGTCCCTGAGCCTCTTCCTTGATTTGTTTGTGTCTTTGTATAGCTTTGCTCATGCTTGTGTTTGGACTTATCTTCTGAGATGCAGTCATATATTTAGAGTTCCTCATTTATAAAGCCCTTTTCATAGCCATGTTCTTTTGTATTGCTGGCATGCTTTTTAATAAGCCAAGAGGATTGATAGCAGTGGTTTTTACAGTTACTTGCTTTTAAACACTAATGTGTTTCTTCCTAGTATTTTTCCTGTGTATTTGTTTAGTCTTCAGCCCCTCATGTTTGAGTGTCTCCTCAGATATCTCCTGACCGTGAACTTCTGACTCGTGCATGGGAGTATGGCATCCTGAATGAGCTGATTGGAAGCTTCCAGATAGAACTCTTCACTAATATCTATCACTTACAGGCCGATGGGAGGAGAGCTCTTTTGCTGTTTCTTTCTTTAGCCTTTGGCTTGTTCTTGACATGCTTAAATTTCCTAGTGAAGAAGGCACAGCCTGGTGATGAAAGAGGACCGGAAGGAGGCCGTGTCCACTGTATAATGCATATAGTACACCTGCCTTGTTTTGTGCTCTGTTTTTCAAGTCCCTGACTTGAAGGGAAGAAAAGGAAAATAAAATGTTTGGTGCTGTAAACTTAAGATTTATCTCCCCAGTCTCCTTCAACAGTGGAAGAGAACAGGGATCTGCATAATAAATAAATATTAGTTGTTTTGTTTTTCAACTTCAAAGAGAAAAGGTCTGCTGTTCGAGGAAGCAAGAATAGTTTTTGCATACTCTTTTTTTTTTACCATGTTGTCCCTAGAGGCAACTCAGATTGTCAGGTTAATGTGATTTAAGCCAGTTTTACAAAGAATGAGTTTGCTGTGACAGGGTGATATGTGGGCACAACTACAAGTACTGTTTCAAACAGGTGTTCACATTCCTCTGTGAACAGACTCATAACAAATGGCTTGCAAGACAGGGTGTTAAGAAAGCCTGTTTAATTTCACTGTATTTTGGAGTTTAACTTACAGGCAAATACTCTATCATATAGATGAGTGTGGACATACTGAATTCTAGTGTATGGATGGATAAGTGGTGGCCAGCAAACCCGGGGAGTCTTCTCCAGCACAGAGATTATAGACATATAGCTGTGACAACCTTTTTTACTATAGGTGCTTGAGATCAAAGTTAGGTGCACATACTTGCCCGGTGAACAATTTTCTTACTTAGCCATCTACCCACACCACCTAGTTTGACATACTTAAATTATTTTTACACAAATTATTCACTAAAATTTGATTAATCAGCATAAAACATAGAAGGTCCAGGGAGGGCTATCACAGATGCTTTTTCTAAATGCCTTATTTTCTGATTCAATTGATGATCACAGTCATGTATTAAAAAAATATAGGAAATAAGCTTTGCACAATATGTCACTATATTGCTTTTATTGTTTCTAATATGCAATGTTAGTTTTTTTTAAACCAAACAATCTATAATTCAATATTTTGTTGAAATTGGGTATAATTGCAGTCCACATAAATGTGGTTTGAGATATAATTTTAAAAGGGACATTGGTAAGAAGATAATTAACTTGGTGACACTGTATGTAAGTGCTCTAATCACAGAACCTGAAGCAGAACAGATATTAACAAATGCATGTTCTTTGCTTATAACAAACTCCAATCTCTTGACATAATATATATGTATTTGCAGTAATGATTTTAAGACTATTAAAATGTGTTGCAGAGTACTTTAAAGTTATTCAAAGCAACTATATGGAAGATAGGGACATTTGTCATTTAAACCTAGAAAATCTGTCCCTGGGAGATCATTCCTTCACAGATAATGTTTCCCATCAAAGATCGTAGAAGTAGCACTGTAATAACATATAACAGTTTCATATGTAAAAACTGTTAGAGGGATATGTGGTTTCTAACTTTTTATTCTTCTACACACATTTTGCAGATTAAATGTAGATGAGTGTGCTGGTTAGTTTTTGTCAACTTGGCACAAACTAGAGTCACTACGGAAGAGAGACCCTACATTGTGGAATTATTTCCAACAGCTTGTACTATGTACATGTCTGTGGAACACTATTCTAATTGCTAATTGATGTAGAAGATTATGGACCACTGTGGGTGGCTCTGTCCCTGTGCAGATGGGCCTGGGCTGTGCAAGAAAAATAGCTGAACAGGCCAGAGGAAGGAAGCAGAAACCATCATTTCTCCATGGATACTGTTTCAGTTTCTGCTTCCAGGTTTCTGCTCCAATTTTCCTCTGTTATAGATTGTGATCTAGGAATTACAGGATGAAATAAACCCTTTCCTCTCCAGGTGGGTTTAGGTCAGTGTTTTATCGCAACAATAGAAAGCAAATTAATAAAATGGTATGCCTCAAATCAATCTTGTGATGTGATTCTTAAAAAACTTAGTACTGGGTTCTAGGCAATCTGGATTTAAAATGCTGGCTCCATTATTTGACTGTATGAAGATTACTTATTTAAAATTCAGGACTTCAGTTTATTATCTGAAAAGTGAGACTTACACCATCCATCCTTAATATTAATATATAGCACAATCTTTTCTGTTTTTCAAGATAGGGGTTCTCTGTAGCTTTGGAGCCTGTCCTGGAACTCATTCTGTAAACCAGGCTGTAGTCAAACTCACAGAGATCCACCTGTCTATGCCTCCCAAGTGCTGGGATTAAAGGTGTGCGCCACCACCACCCTGCCAATATATAGAACATTCTTTACAGTATTGTTTCATTGAGCTCTTTTACTCAACTAAATAAAAATTACTCTAATTTTATATATAAAATTATATTCTGAAAGTATTATTTGTATTTATTACTCTCTGTGAGACATAAGTAAATGTCTTATGTAATATAAATAGACTTATGAAAACATCAAAATATCTGTCTTTTGTTTGAATCTTTGTCACAAGTCCTACATTCATTTTAATTTAATCTCTTAACATCTCTTGGACAGAAGGCTATGGAAGGTTGTCCTAATCCTTACTTTTTATTCTTTTACAGAGAAGTTTGTTGATAACATGCTCTTAAGAAGCTCAGGAAAATTGAATGTGGGCACCAAGAAAGAGGATGGCGAGAGTACAGCCCCCACACCTCGCCCCAAAGTCCTTCGTTGTAAATGCCACCACCATTGTCCAGAAGATTCAGTCAACAATATCTGCAGGTTGGTGATAGAATTTCTTCAAGCGCCATTTTCACAAGCGGTGTTGTAACATTTTGAACATTCATTAAGGTTTCCAAGAATATGATCTGGAGAATGGTACTGACTTAAGCAAAATATCTAATCATATTTTACCCTGAAATGATATTTGAGACATCCCTTTTACCTAAACATATAACAGGTCTCGGGCTCCTTGTCAATGAACAAAAACTACTGTGCCTTTCCATATTTACTTACCACAGATTTCATGTAAATATGCTGATCTTGTCTTAACCACTTATCATAGTGATGCTGTTAGTATTGTGCAGCAACAGATTAATAAACTGCTTCTGGAAAGCAGTTTTGATAGTTTATGTTAAACCAACAAATGTTAGTAGAGATACTGTTGCAGCATGAAAGCTATGAAGTTGGAAATATGAAATCAAAAACATATAAAAGAGTTCAGTTTCAAATAATGTAAAGCATTTTAATTTGTACTCATCTTTTTGTAGCTGCATTCATTTGCCTGGTTATGGTATCTGTTTGTTCCCTAGAGTAAAGGAAGCATATATAAAGAGCCATAGCCTCTTGAGAACAGAGCAGAGCAAGAGAAAGGGCTAAGCTACATATGTCACGTCTCCTAGGAATGGCAGTGTCAGAGAATCAAAGTGTGAATGCATTAGGACTGGCCATGGACTCCAGTGGGGAAATGAACTAGTTTTGGAGTCCAGGAAGGATATCTGGGTAACTATTTTTAGACCATCATCAGCCAACAGGGCATATCAAACTGAGTGGAATGCTTTTGCTGTTGCAGAGTTTCTATAATGTATATCATGATACAGAATCATTGTACTAATATCCTTAAAATCCAAAAGTGTTAGATTTAAAATGTTCCCAAACCACAGATTTGATGCCACTAGTGGAAATTTCCCCACCTGACTTCATGTGTCAGGTCACAGCTAGAATGCAGGCACACTAAAAATATTGTGTAAAATTATATCCCTGCTGTGTTTGCATAAGACACATAAGATATAAATAAACTTCATGGTTGAATGTAAGTCCCATTTCTAAGATATCACATTAAGAATATGTAAATATTCTAAAAATGTAAAAGAAATCAAAATAGAGCAGTAGCCAGTGTTGGCTAAGGAACACACTGCTTTAAACATATAGAAGCTTACAAATGAAAAGTTTGTCTTTCACTTAGAGGTGCATTGGGTGACCTTGACTTGAGGGTGTTGTTGGACTCAGACTTGCCATACATCTCTTCTTTCTTTTGGGACAGCAAAAGTGTAGGACAGACCATCTATATGTGTGTAAAAGAGCAACATCTTAAAGCCTTTGTTTACCTCCTGAATTCTGATGATTAATTAACCAGATCAAGTGGTAGAGTGAAGCTCAAGGTCAAAGGGAAGCCATACCTATGGTGAGATAGGACAAATACTAATAACAGCACATTGTCTTCCAGAGTAGGGCAGAACCATGAAACACCGGAGAGTTTAGTTAAGGAGACTGTCATGGAAACTAATGTTAGAGAGGGAGATACTTAAGCCAACTTCATTAGATACAATTAGATTTCAAATGTGACAAGGGCTAAAAGTGAAAATCAGAACTGATAATGTTAATCAGAGCAATTTAGAGATATTTAAGGTAGTAGAAATGGAAACCAGATTGATATAGAATTTTAATTAAGTGGTTGTCAACCTTTGATTTATTATAGCAAAAGAAAACAGACACAAATTCCATAACAGTAATGACAGAATCCCTCAGAAGAATGTGAATATACGTTTGCAGTCAGTATTGATGTGTTGACTTGTGAAGTCAACAGAAAACTGGTATTTACTGAAATGATTATGTGTTTACTTTCACCTATCTAATCTTCAGAAGATTCTTGTGAAGGATGCAGTATTTCCTGTTTATTTACTGGTAAAAATGCAAAGGCTAAGTTATCCTTAGTCAGTTTGATGATATGATAAATAGTTGGCCAAGACTCCAAGTTCAGAATTCTTGGTCAGCAGCCAACCTTGTCAGGTTCTCTGAGGACATTCCCTCTTGAATCTGATACTCAGTTTTCTAGTGAGGAGATGACTCAAGTTGAGTTTTCTTATGTGTGGATCACAGGGACTACCCTTGTACTTTGTCTAAGACCAAGAAGAAGCACATTACTTTGTCTCAGTTCTATGAGGTATAGTCTACTCTTCCCCTCCAAAAACAATACTTCTCAAGCTCTGTTAAAAGATACCCCTGAACACACGAAATTATGCCCACGTACTTGCCTCAAGTACACTCAAGATTAATTATTAAAACCATTCATTTAAAAGCTTGTAAATTATTTGTTCTTTTAAATTTTTTAGTAAGTTTCAACAGACATGAATTTGTCATATCAAGTTTCTATACAAGTTTCTGTTTCTTCTTTAATTTCTTCAAAGACCTGCAGGGGACAATTTGCTATCCTGACTCTTATACTCATAGGCAAAGTAGTTTTTTAAGTACACACATGTGCTTTCTCATGAGTTAGATCTGATATATATTGTCTACATTGAGGCTTTGTACCAGGCAAAAGTTCCTTCCAACATCAAGCTGAATGTCCCAAGTAGGTTTCTTATTTAACATCACTTCTACTACCATGAAGAAAGCATTCAAAAATGGGGCAAGAACATACATACAGTCAATGTGAAATCTCACGGCCTAAGTCAGACAACATAGGTGGAGTTCAGAGGTTTGTAAATTGTTGTTTTACCAACCAACAAGAAGGTCAATGGTACATTTGTGTCTGCTACCAAAATTCATGTCATTTCTGTTGCTTATGGAATGCATACCAAAGGATGCTCTCTCTCTCTCTCTCTCTCTCTCTCTCTCTCTCTCTCTCTCTCTCTCTCTCTCTGTGTGTGTGTGTGTGTGTGTGTGTGTGTGTGTGTGTGTGTTTGAGAGAGAGAGAGAGAAAGGAGAGAGAGAGATGTGTGGTAAACAACTTTAATGCTAGGACTGTAGAAATAAATGCCAAAGGATGGTTGCAAATTCAAAATCAGCCTGGTGTGTGCAGCAAGAAAAGAAAAAAGAATCATGACATTATAACATTAGTATGAGTACAGTGTTTGTATCTGTAATCACAACTTAGGGAGAGGGAGGAAAGCCATTGAGAAATAAGGTAATGTCTTCTAAATGTGTTTCTAGGGGTCATGTTTCTTTGTAACCCTTCTATTTCCTGGTTTTATTGGTGGGACTGCAGATCTTTACTTAAGCCTTGAGAATTTCTTCTTAGGTGGTTTTCACGATGTCATGTTCTTTGTCACTTTCCCTTTCTAGCAAATGATTCATGCTTGCTTATAGTGTTTCTATATATACTTTCATCTGGTTTCATAAATCCTATCTTACCTTCTTAGACATAGTCTTTAATAGTCAATTTTTGATGCTGTCTCATGCATATCTTCTAGTTCCTTCAATCCATAACACATATCTATACATTTGTAATAGCTATTGTTGATTTATCTCTCAGGGATGATTTTAATACTTCCTCATTTAAATTATTGGTTTCTGACTAGAAATTTTCCTACATGGGTATTTTGAGGTATAATAAGTTGATGTGCTTATTTGTTTAATGACACTAGCTGCTTAAAGAGGGAGCGGATATGTTTGCAACTGTTTGTTGTCTTTGTGATTGCCTCATCGCCTTCTCTTTTTCCCACTTCCCCTCCTTCTCCTCTTCATTACTCTTCCCCTCTCCTTCCTTCTCCTCCTTCTTTGATACAAGTTCTCTTTCTGGTTTGGAACTCTCACTTGGAGCCCTTGCTGGCTTGGAACTCTTCTTCATAGGTCAGCCTGGCCTTGAACTCATAGGGGTCCACCTACTTCTGCCTCTTAAATGTTAGATAACTGTATATCTTGAAGTATAGGGCTATAAGGAAAGGCTAATAGCCATGCTAAATATCACTAGAGCTATCCAATTTTTCTAGTATTGGCCAGCTCAAGTAAATACCAAGGTTTGTGGAGTTTATGTTCTAGTAGGAAGTGTTAATTTCTATTTTAATTGCAAGAATGTTGACTCCTTCCCTAGAAGCTGTGATTTAGTTGTTAGTCTGATATTTCAAAGTACATCTAACTCATCATCTGAAATAAAACTAAATGGAAACAATTTGTTGTCTGCTTTAATTGAAAGTGAATAGTGTTGGGCTTCTTCAGATTACCTACTAAAGTTTGCAGAACAGAGAAGGAAAATGTCATATCTCCCAGATAATAATATTAATATAGAGACTGGCCAGGTCAGGAGACAGAGAGGAATCCTTTTAAAGAGCTCTTGGAGATTATGTGGTCTGCAGAGGGTGGTGAGTTAACTTAGCGAATGTACAGTTGGGACAGTGTTAAAAAAAAAATGTGTGCTTCCTAGAACAATAAGCCTATCCCTAAATGTTCAGTATAAGTGCCAGAGAAGGATACTGGCTAGAGAGAGAAGAGACATTTGCTCTTGAGGACAGAATCAAAGGCAGCACTCATACTGAGACTTTGTCATCAATGTTGTTAACTTCACACCCCCTACAATCATTAGCTCCCATAGAAAAGGACAGAGAAGGGTCTTGGTAATATTACTGCATTTCCTTCTAACTCTGTGGGAATCAATTCATCTCAGAGGCTGGGGAGAGGGGATGAGTAAAACCCATAGGAATCCATAGCTTTGGAAACTGATGCTGCTCATCATTCCTTGTTCTTGCCTGGTCAGTTGAAAACACTAGGAAATTTGTGATGTCTATCCCTGCTGCTTGAAGCTGACAAATTTTTTTTTTCCTTCAGTCTGTGTAATCCACATGATTCTCAAACAGAGACTGTTTCTTCCTCATCCTGCCTCCTTTTGGTTCCCAATGCTTGAGTGAGATCCACAAATTAAAGGAGGACTACCCTGATCAAAGCTGTGTGTGGCATTGGCCCCTTGATAAAAATCTGGAAGGTCAAACAGCAACTGCACAGATTGTGTGTGCCATAAGATAATCCATGCTGGAAATTCTGAAAATGTATTTGGTCCCTTGAATGTGAAGTAGGTATTTTCAAAGACAGGGTATTCTCAGTCAGTCAGCCTATTTAAAATGGATCCTGACTGAAATTTAAACTCAAAGGAAATTTGAGGATTTGAGAATTTAGTACAGCTTTGATAATGTGCAGGGCTATGTATTGAGCAGTGAGGAAAACTGTTAATCCTTGGAGGCATGAATCCATAACTGCTGAGCTGTCATGCTAGCCCTATTCCCCTCACTTTCAATAAAGGTATAGTTAAGGCCATTTTAGATGGCATATGAAATTGCTTTCTGTCCCTCAACAATAACTCTGGAAGGAACTGGTTCCAGGGGACTGTTCGAAACCCACTTAGAATGGATGAGAGAGGAGTTAGAAGTCTTTAGAGTTTCTAGATGTATACCGGAAAACAGAATCACTAACTTCCTCAGTCCTTTGAAGCAGGCATACCCTCTTCTTGCTTGTATGAGTTCATTAGTTGACCCTGAAAGTCTACAGCAGTGTTTCCTTCCATTTTCTACATACTTCAAAGATAGCTTTGCATCTGGAATACTGTACAAATTTAAAGAGACTTGAACCTGATGACCTATCTATCCAGAGACTATAAAAAATGTTATCACTACTCTGACCTCATGTAACCTTTAGTTTGCCAAGGGTTTTGCATTTTTATTGAGTAACTACAGGAACACTGAGAATCCATGACTGATTTTCTTGGTATGCAGTCATCCCATTCTCAGTCTATTTGTCACTGATTCTTCCCTGCCGGTAACACAGAGGGATGGCATATTAATTGACAATTCCATTAACTGACTCTGTGCCACTGCTCCTCTCATTCATAATCATTACTGGAACCAACATAATCATTACTGTCACCCTATATTCAGTTATGTATTTCACTTCTTAAAAATATTTCTACTTTGATTTCCTTCATGATTCTTAATCTTATTACTTCCTACATTATGGGAATGATAACACACCCTTGAACACCCAGGTAGCAGAATATTAAAAAATAAAACCCAATAACAGAGGATAATTGTCCTTTATGACACTTAATAGCAGAGTCACCCTAATAGCAGAGTCAGCCATCTTCGACTCAAGATCTACCTGTTTCTCTTTGTGTTTGCTATAGAGTTAAGGTCTCTCAAGAAGTGCTTAGGCTTCTGTAATTGTCCTGCCATTTACAGTTAATGCCCTGTGCTAGACAGAAACTCCAGTGTGAAGTTTATAAATTACATTTTCTGTGTTTCCTATGATAAACAGTGAAATGTCGCTCCTCCTTTCTTAGTTTCCACATATTTGATTTCTACATGAATTTATGATTTATGGTTTAGTGATCTGTTTCTTTAGGATGCCTCTCTCTTCCTCTTTACCCCTAATATATGTATGCATGCATGTGCACGCACATATAAATTTATTTTTATTTTATGTGTATGGGTGTTTTGCCTGTATGTGTATATATGTACCACACCTGCACACAATGCCGGGAACAGCAAAAAGAGGGTTCTGGATGTTTAGGGCTGAAGTTCCAGATGGTTGTTAGCCATTGTGAGGGTGCTAGGAATTGAACTCACAACTTCTGGAAGAGAAACTAGTTGCTGTTAATTACTAAGCCATATCATCAGCCCTCCCACTTCTTTGTATTTCTAGTTCTCAGATTTGCAGACAGGTTTGTTTATTTTTAAAGCTCAATTTTCTCTCCCTAGTGTTTGTATTGTAAGTTACCAATAATGTATCTCCTTTTCCTTTCTTTCTTTCCTTCTTTCTTTCTTTCTCTCTCTCTCTTCCTTCCTTCATTTCTTTTTTCTCTTTTCGTCTTTTCTTCTCTTTATTACCTCCTTTTTTCTTTTCTCTTTGTCCTTATGAATTACCTTGCTATGCATAACTTTATCCTTTGATTTTGGGCAATACATTAAATCATCTCACATATAATGTATTATGTTGACAGCTCTATTGCCTAGGAATGCCAGATGAGAAATATTTTAGACAAATAGTCTTAATACATAGTAAAAAAAAAAAAAAAAGCATGAAAACTCACATGAGTAGTATTTACTCACATTGTTTGGAGTGAAGGTTCATCTTATTTGTTGCGTTCAGTATGGCATGTTTTACACTCTCATTGGGGTTTCAGTGAGTTGACTAAGAAGCTCCAAAGAATTTGAGCATGAGCTGTTCAGAAGCAGTTTTCTTTCTACAACAGTATTCATGCATTTGACCTTAGTCTAACACAGATTTATCACTGTCCCTTCCTAGCCATTCATTAGCATGTTTCAACTCTGTGCTTCTAGTTTTTATAAACTGAGACATGTTGGATCACTTGAGACTTAGAAACTAAGTAAACAATTGTAAGGATGTTGATGATAACTGAAGGGCTAATGTATGGCAGAATGCTGTTCCCACTAATGCTGGTAGACAGACCTACAAATCATGGCTAATACTGTTCTCACGGCTTTGTTCCCATGACCTTTTAGAACTCCATTGTCATATTGGTCTTGGACACTGCACATACATATGGATGAGAAGAGGATAGGAAATGTAGCATCATATTTTATTTTTAAGGGCACAGTTGGCAACTTGTAACTTATTGGGAATCCACATTATAAGGGTTGATTTATGAAGATAATATATCTGTTTGCATGTAGTCCTGAACATACCAGTTACTGTTTTCAGTTTAGTCCCAGGATAGCGGATAACAAATAGGAATGAAAGTCGTTGACCTCCATTCAAGGTCTAAGGCTGGAACTATTTCTATTCAACCTTGAGTAGTGGCATTTTCTCATCAAGTCAATTCTCCCATATGCAAAATAAGAATAGTATTTTCTTCCAGTTATAGGTAAAAAGATTAAATATTATTGAACAATTGAATGTTATACTTGTCTAGAGAAACATTAAAATTTAGTTCTGTTAAAACCTTTATTGCTATTGTCCGTTCTAACCCATGTCCAACAGTATTTGTTGCCTTGCTGGCTGTGCCGCCCCCTCCCCAAAGCAGGGTACCATGTACCAAACATTCACTGTCAGAAGGGGACTCTGCTCCTGCCTGTCTTCAACAACTTACAGGGGTGTGCTTCACTGCTCCCAAAGAGAGATTTAGCCCCTACATTCCCCAGCATAGGTTCCAGCTTAGTCTCCTCCTCCCCTTGACCATGTGACATTTGGAAAATTATTAAAGCTTTTTGACCCTTATTGTCCTCACATAAAGAATAAGATAGTACTATCTGCCTCAGGTTTTCTCTCTGGAAAAGTGTTGGGGCCAAGATAATCTCAATAAGAATGTAAATGCTTTTTAATGGTAATTAGTGACATGGAAATTTTAAGCCTTCTCTCCACTGAGTTTCTAAACCATATGTTCTTAATGATTGGTGCATGTACTTTCATAGATGCAAATATTGAGATGTGCTCAACAGTTTGTGGTCTTAAAAAAAATCAATGTGATGAAGTCAATGGTAGTAAGATTCCTTTTATTTTCTAAGTCATGTCTTCTTTTTTTCTCACTCTCACTGTACCCGTTTGGTCTTCAGCACAGATGGGTACTGCTTCACGATGATAGAAGAAGATGACTCTGGAACACCTGTTGTCACCTCTGGATGTCTAGGACTAGAAGGATCAGATTTTCAATGTCGGGTAAGGAAGAGAACTTGAATTTACTTTGTAACTTACATTAGTTAAACTTTGAAAAATATTCAAACAAAATAAGCTAATCCTTTTGTTATGGCTTTCCCATGTTGTGTAGTTTGTAAAATAATTGAAAATTCTCATCGGCCAATTCTGTCTTCACTTTCAAACAGTGTTTTTGATTGTTTGTTTGTTTTGTGTGTGTGTGTGTGTGTGTGTGTGTGCTATTAGCTTACTTAGTTTCCAATTATACCATCTTTTCAGTTCTGATTATCTATTATTTAAACTGAGACTACATTGTTTGTTTTATGCTGATTGTTACAAGTACAATAATACTTTGCTGAAGTGGAAATGTTGTCATGGTACATGATAATTTGAAACAAATTATTGATGGAAAGTAACATTTTCAGGATTTTGAGCAAAATTATTAGAATTTTAAATGCATTCTCTAATGGCCATCTGTTAAATCTTAGACAAGAGGACATTGAAATTTAGAGGAAACACGGTAATAGGTGTTTACAATCCATTGTAGGACACTCCCATTCCTCATCAACGAAGGTCAATCGAATGTTGCACGGAAAGGAATGAATGTAATAAAGACTTACACCCTACTCTGCCTCCACTGAAGAACAGAGGTAAGACAGGAGTGGAGGGGCTTCCACTTACTGAAGACGAGCTCTGGACTCCTTCTTGCCAAATTTATTGGCACCTTGATCATTTTTGCTTTTAATTTGTTTCATTACCTACTGCTAGAGTAGAGGGGTGAGGCAAGATAACATCATAAATGCCACTCAACAAATATGCAAGCAAATGTTGGCTTAGTGACTATACAGCTTCATTGTTAGGATCCTCATGTCTCTGCCCCCCCCTCCAGAAAGCTCCTGTTTGGAGCATTTACAATGTGCTGCTGGAAGCAGCACCTCTTAAAGTTATTCAGAATTGGTATTTAATAAAATCTATTATGCCATTGTACCAATTAAAAGATAAAGACCTTATAAATAACTAAATGAATGATTGTTTGGTCTACCACATTTTATTTTATCTTCATAGCAAACTGACTTGTATTTAATAGTGTATTTCTAAAATGGGGGATGTGTTTAAAAGTTTTAATTTCAAAGTTTATATACTTAAGTGTATTTAAAATGATAGCTATTGCATATGTAAAAACTTTTTGGCACAGACTTCCACAACAGCTACTATATTTCCTTTCCCTTCCCTGTACTAATCACAAATAAATGATTTGTAAATGCTGTAGAGTCCTAAGTCTTACATGATGCATAATGATTGATATTATTTATTGATGGCATATTTCCTATAAAAAAGTGGTATTTCATATTTTTGACAATTTTTCATAAATACATTCCCACTAAAGTGTTGATATTTATCTGATGAATTCATAGAAATTCACATAAGAAACTCAAAGTTTTCTTATTTCTTTTTCAAGCAATATCCTAATACAGAAGTGGATGAAGAAAATATTGCTTGCAAAAATATTGCTTTCTTACATTGAGGTATAAGAATTGTCATGTAAACAGTTAGCTTACATTTGGTCATGAGAATCTCACACTTCTAGAGATAAATTCCAAATCATAAAAAAAAAAAGCAAAAAAAAAAAAAAAAAACAAAACCCTGATTAAAAGGAACTTTGAGAAAAAGGGTTTATTTTAACTTATGGTTTCAGAGAGGTAGGATGGAGAGATAGAGGAGAGAGGGAGAGGGAGAGGGAGAGAGAAAGAGAGAGAGAGGGAGAAAGAGAGAGAGAGAGAGCAGCCCTAGTGAAGCATTCTTCCAGAAAGACTTTGCCCAAACAGTGCGACTGGCTGAGGACTGGGTGCTTAAATACATGGGCATATGGGGAGCATTTCTCACTCAAACAGCAATATCACACCCTTGGCCCCTATAGGCTTATGGCCATTTCATGACATTTAATGTATTTAGTCCCACTTTAAAAGTTTACATGTTCTTTAGCAATCTCAACACTGTTCAAAAGTGCAATGACTCTTCTGAAACCCTAGGTGGTCCTTTCATTGTCCCCTGGTATAAAAGCAAACAAATCAAATTACATGCTTTCAATATTCACATACTCTGTTATGCTGCCTGAAATTTTCTCTGCCATAGAAATTAGCCCGTTCTTTTCAATTCAACCTCAAATCAAGTTTTTCCACATATGTAGATTGCAAGTGATTATTTGCCAATATAACACATGAATGATTATTAGCCAAGTTGCCATTTGAGTCCTTGTTCCCCTTAGAAACTTCTAGATATGTGTCTCTACTGAACACTCCTGTTTTCCAAGCACTCATAGGAATGGCCCACTAAGCTCTGACCACAGCACTTTTCAGTATGAAGTTCCAAAGTTTTCCATATCCCTCTGAAAGTCATCATGGTCAGGGTCACCACAGAAACAAACCTACTTCTCTGTTACCAGTTTCTGTGTTAGTTACTTTTCTGTTGCCATATGGAATATCCTGACAAAAAAGGCAACTTTGCAGAAAAATGGCTTATTCCAGAATACATTTAATCATTATGGTCCAGAAGGCATGAGAGCAGGAGTATGAGGTTGGACATAATCAGTTAGTTCTATAGCAAATGACAGGATAGCACATTAGCCTCAGAGAAGTGACCCTTGAATCAAGGATGAACAGGAATTCACTAATAGGGTGAGGCAAAATGTTAAATGAAAATTAATATGGCTAATGTAAGCCAGGCTTTATAGCAAGTATTACAGTAACGCATTTGAGTCTTATAATGTCATGAGGTATTTGGGTTGGATATGCCCATCTGAAGACAGAAAATTGTGGTATGAAAGGTGTAACAGAATTGTTTTGTTATGAAACAGTGGGCAGTCGTTACTTGTCTCAGAGGGATCCCCTCTTCATTGCCCACAGAACTCTCAATTGGTTCTACCCCCTGAGAAGTTGGGAGGACAGCATATAGAAATGTGCTATCCCAAAAGGGTCCCAGGTGATTCTCTTTTCTTCATTGATGTCTGGAAGGTTGCTTTTCAGGAGTATTCATGTTACTACTCCAAGTGCTCACAATGACAGGGTGGCACAAAACTAAGTTGACAAGTGGAAATGGAAGTTTATTGATGAAGACAACTGTTCATGAACCAAGGAAAGTAGGGAGAAGACTTGACTGCAAGAGATGGTTATTGAGGAAAAGAAAACAAAACTATGGAATAATGCTAGCCTTAAGTATAGTGCTTGGTGGTGAAGAAAGACTTCCTCAGGTTCTTGTGGTTTTGTTGTTGTCATAAGTCAGAAATGTAGTGAGTAATAAACACATATGTGGTAGTTCACAGTGTAGTCTGTACTTGGCATCTATGTGACAAGGCAAAGAGAAACTGAGTTTTAGCAAAATCCTATCATTGGAGTGAGAAAATTCTAGGTTCATGTACTGAAAATTCACTGTGATCCTATGGTTAGATTTAATTTTCATAGAGGAATATTCTCTTTGGATTCTGAAACATAGAGAGTTGTCCTTAAAACTAGAAATAATATAACCTGTGTTTTCCAGTACAAGCAAATATTCCAGTCTTTACAAGTATATATAGGATATAGAAGAAAGAAACTTAATGCAATTGTAGACTACTTTCTTTTAAGGACCTGTCAGTTATTTTTTAACATTTATGAAGCTATATATTCCAAACAATGAATGCAGTAATTTTTACTCCTGTTTGTAATGGCATTTTGGAGAGTGCTTCAGTGGTCAAGCTCCTGACCTACTTTTGCATGGGACATTAATAACAATTCCGAACTGGATAATTATAAGAAAACCTACTTTCTGACTGTTTTCATTTAGTCTTTTGAGATGTAACCTATTTTCATTCATATTTGCATGTGGTATGGATCATAACTAAGTGTTAAAACATATTTTAGAACACTGAATATAATATATCAGTAATCGTTATCAGATTTGTTAAGAAAAAGTATAAAGATCTGTGGATTAGAGTTTGCAATAACTAATCCAAGCATTTTATGCAAAATTGCAAAGTGAGTTTATTTTCAACTAATCTATTAGTGTCTCAGTAGTTAAAATTATAAAACTATTTGTAAGACAGTATCTTTGTTAATATTATTTGTAATAAGAACTCTAAATTATTTAAAGATGCACATGAACATTGTTCAAATAGTCTAAACTAATAGAGGCATTCAAAATAAATGATGAAAAAAGAGAAGTGAATCCAAATGTATATACATATGTATGCACATGAACCTTGTTCTGTGTAAGGCATGATCAGAGCAAAGGAAATATAGCACACGATAAAATGTAGATAATATGAACTATGAGTGAAGGTCACACTAGAGTTCTTTATTCAAGCTTTTGTCAAACACTGAAATTATTTCAAAACGATTATACTGAGAGTAAATTAGAAATTGTTTAGTCTTTTAAGGGTATATGAGGTAATTTGAGAAAATTTGTAGTATCTGTCTTCTGAAGTAATAATTTTACATCTATGAATATTAGTCATTGTCACAAAGATATGAATGTATTAGTTAAATGATTGTATATATTTTAGAAAATGTGCTTTATAACATGTGTTCTTAAATATATCACAACATAAGGTTGATTTCTAATTAGCATGCTTCTATGCAAAACACTATATTATCTTTGAAATTAACATGTTGTGGGGGGCTAAAGCAGAATGATTAGAAGTTAGAGACAGCCTGGGTTATATAGTGATGATACTTTCTCCATAAAAGAAAGAGAGAAAAATCCAGTTACAAGATGCTATAGTATCCTTCGGGAAGTATTTTTTGTTTAACATTTGTGCTCATTGAAGTACTGTTATAATGGCCCAGGTGCAGCTCTTGTTAGTAACTTACGAAGAATGTAAATTTCATCTATTTTAGTCAGTTGGCCCTTTAATTTTTTTCTCAAGGAACATATACTACATTTATTGCAAAAATCACATTTGGGTGAACAAAAGTCTCTTACCAAAATTTGAATATGTCTATCTCTATCTAGGTGCAGCAGAGGAAACTTCTTCTAATACTCGTTAAAGTCATCCCTTCTAACCTTGCCTTTTCCACTGAGTAGCAGTAATCACTTTTCTCGGGTGCACTCTGCTAATTCTGCTACTGTACATCTCTCTATACTTGGTTTCAACCCAGTTTTGTTTAGATATCCCTGGGCCAGCTGAATAAAAATCACCTGGGATGATTGGTTACCAAAAAGATATTTTGAATAAATATTTCTGAGTTTAAAGTTAGGAAATACACATTGGTCTCTTAAGACATTCACATGAAGTTTGAGAATTCATACTGCAGCAAATCTGATCTGTCAAGAATTTGAGTTGATACAAAATGAGCAATATTTAATGTTCTGTTGCTTAAGAGCATTGCACAGTCTTTAGTTTGGACATTTCTATTTTAATTTTATATTTCCATTTTAAAAAATTAAAGTATATTTGTTACATGACATCTTTGTGTAAAGCAACACACACACAAACACACACACACACACACACACACACACTCACACACCACAATTTATAGCATTTGAGGAGCCCTTAGCTTTGCATTTATCAGAAAGCAGCTTTGGGTAGAATGAATATAGATTTATTTTTGTTTCTTATCCAAAGAATATCCCAGATGTCAGGTGAGAAGAGCCTACAAATCCTCTACTTGACTCTGGAATACACATGAGCTCCTGTTTGGCTGTTAGCCTCTGGGGCCCAATCACTCCTAGTATTTCTCCTGTGAGTTTATTCTGTGTCAGGTCAATCCATATAGGATACTATACACGTCTAGCTGAGTGGATTCATCTAAGCTAAGCATGTAGTTTTGAGTACGAGTATGTTTTTTTCTCACAACATATTAAAGTTTTTTTATGTATTTTGCTTATCACGTTTTGATCAAACTTTAGGGAGAGAATTTATCCCTTTTAAATAATGTATGTGTTGTTTTGTGGCTTTCTCTTTCAGATTTTGTTGATGGAACTATACACCACAAAGCCTTACTCATATCTGTGACTGTCTGTAGTTTACTGTTGGTCCTCATTATTTTATTCTGTTACTTCAGGTACGTATTAGATAGATATGTGGAGTTTTGCACTTATAGTGTAGTATAGATCCCTACATGAATATTTTTTGCTGCTGTTGCCTGTCATAGCTGTTTTTGCTCCTAGATCACATTTATCTGAAAATTCTATTACCATAGACAAAGACTTACCTCAGTGAAACTATAAATAGATGCCTGTCTCATTTCTGTTTCAGACATTACAACCACTCAGATAAATTCTTCACCCTAAGGAAACATGGATAAATGGAAAATTTAGTGACTGGTTATGACTTGGGTTTAATTCTAAGCAAAGAAGAAACCATATGGAAGTTTGAGTGCCTTCAGGAATTCCTTATTTCCTGACTACAAAAGTCCTCTAGTTCTATAACATTTATAGCGCAAACATTAAAATAAACTAAGTTTAGTTATATAAAAGTTTTTTAGTCAAGAACTTATTTTCTATTATGTGAAATATAAAGTTTTAAAAGTTCATACCATTTGAGCATTGGATATTCAACAATAACATTCTACAAATACATAAATTAATTGATTAAAATAAATTTTGAAGACATTACTATAGCATGTCTTATGGTTTAATGTTTCAACATGGTTATTGTATTGTACATTTTCTTATGTGAAAGGATCTTCTCATATACTTTTCTAAATGAAAAAACTTGTATATTTGATTACCTAGGCAACTTAAAGGAAATGCTTCTAGGAAACATATTGGAGCTACTTGGAAATACTAATAGAATATAGTCAGCTTGTATAGCAACTGAAAGACAGAAAAGGAAAATCATACATGATTGAATGACAAACATTCTAAGGGTAGCAAATAGTATTTGCTTTTGTGTTTATTGCTAAATTCCATGATTAATGTTTGTCTGTGATGTTTTATAACTGTCACTGCATTTCAGGGTTTAATCTTATCTGCCTCATCCATGCTCAGGTATAAAAGACAAGAAGCCAGGCCTCGGTACAGCATTGGGCTAGAGCAGGATGAAACTTACATTCCTCCTGGAGAGTCCCTGAGAGACTTGATTGAGCAGTCTCAGAGCTCGGGAAGTGGATCGGGTCTCCCTCTGCTGGTAGGAGAAGAATATAACATGAATTCTAAGTCTCTGTGTCCATTAGGAGCCAGATCCTAGATGTGGGGCTTCTTGATAACAATTGACATTCTGAGGGGCAGGTTATTGTTCTTTAATGTAACTCCAATTAAAAGCCAGACACTCAGACATCTTGATCAAGATTGGGTTAGAAAATAAATATTTTGGTGAGGATAAAATTACTGTACTTTGCCCTGGCTATTGAAGGCAAACGTGTTGCTATCAACATCTGCATTTAAGCTAAAGACTGAGGTTTCAGGTTGAGGTCTGTGGTATCCACTCAGGAGAAGTTAACTTTCTGATATAGTCGGGACTGTCAACTTCCACAAGAACGTAGCCAAATCCAACATATCCATTCCAAATCCAAGTCACTTGCTTACCTGAGAAAAGGGTTTGATTCTTTTATGACCATTGAGTAAGTTTGTTGGAATCAAGGAGAGATAGTTATAATGAGAACTAATTTCCTTAATGAGCTTTAGTATTTTAAAGAGGGATGAGGGATTATATATATGAATATGTGTGGTTGCACAGATGTCATGGTCAGAGTCAACTTGGAGGAATTGGTTGCTCACCGTGTAGTTATGGAGGATTGAATTCAGTCACTGAGCTATCTTGTGGCCCTTAAGAAATTCTAAAGATTAACTATTACAGACTTCAGGCTCTGATTCTGACTTGCGTGGCTTCAGAACTTGTTTCATGTGACAACCTTGCATTTATCTTCACAGTTAAGTTTTGAGTTCAAATAGAAAGCAACTTGTGCATCTATAGCCATGTTAGTCATGGTAAACAGGATGATAGCACTTAGGACTTTTAAAAGTGCCCAGGTTCTGATGCCTAAACTGTTTTTGATTTTTATGATTAAATTCATGTATTAGCAATTCTGCAGTATTTTTAACTCCTTAGTGTTGTATTTTACTTTTCAAGAAAAGTACAAACCCACTTAGTAGTGATGAATTACATGTTTCTGCTGTTGCAGTTGTAACTGGTTTGAGCTTAGTTTCTCCTAACTCAGTCATAGGAAGTTGTAGTTAGTTACCTTTCTGTATCCTTTGAATATTGCCTTTGAGTTTTGCCCAGATACAATAGTCTGGCACTTCCCATCTTCTCTGTTCATATGGGTAGTATTTAAACTCCACCTGGCTCCCACTCTTTCGTCCTGCTCCCCTACCTGCCGCCTTAACTCCAGCAGTACCTCTGAGAAGCTGTCCTCTGAACAAACACGTGTCTCTATGTTTTCAAATGTAATCACTTTGTGGAACATTGCTCTAGACTATGGCTCAGGGCCTCCTTCGTCTAAGCTCTCTGTACATGTCAGATAGCTGAGCCGAGAGCCTGGGTGTCTTCTGTCATGGCATCAGCTTTTAGTACCAATGTTGCAGATTAAATGACTGCCTTACTTGGGGGTGGGAAATACCCCATTGTATTCACTTCTTATCCTTCCCAGAATCTTTCCAATCCATTCAACAGGATGTGCAGACAGTTGTAAAATGCTTTAGCTCTACGAATTTACCATCCACAGGGACCCTTCTTCTATATTTTAGACCCCAGCCCACAACCAATGTTTTGTTTTTCTCTGAATCAGCTTTTATTGCTCCAGCAAAATACTTCAGAAAAAAAATACCAGGAAGAATTCCTGTTTTTATTTAATTTTTCATACACTATCTTTTTATCATGTTCTCTCTTCCCAACTCCTCCCAGACCCTCCCTACTTCCCAACTCACCAACTTCATGTTCTCTTGCTCTCTCCCAAAACACAGAACAAAGGGCGGAAGAGACAGGCAGATCTTTTTGAGTTCTAGGCCAGCCTGGTCTATAGAGCTAGTTCCAGGACAGGTTCCAAAGCTACCCAGAGAAATTGTGTCTTAAAACCACCCCCAAGCATGTTTTTACACAAAGTAATTAATATTGCTTATCACTAGGGAATTTCATCCCTAAAAGACCATCATTGTTTATGCAGATCATGGTTGACAAAGAAAACAATATGTATCACTTGGATAGACTAGAAATATATCATTGCATTAATTTGGGTATATAGTCCCAATTATGCCAATCAGTTTGTATATGGAGAAACGAGATTCCAATTTACACTGAGCCTCTAGAATCCATGTTATTGATATTCTTAACATGAGAAATAGATGTTAGATAAATAGAGAAATGTGTATGGATAACAGCATTGAATGGTTTCCCAGGAGACTAGATCCAGGAAAAATTGATGTGGCCTCAGCATTAGGGCTGTGATATCTAGTCTTAAGGTGTGAGCTTTGAGATTAACTTTAGGGCTGTATAGACAGTACTGCTACGGGAATGAATGGCTATGTCAACTTAAGACTCACTGGTTACTTAATGTTTTTAATGCAGTGTGACATTTTATCTTCATCTATGTACATATACATGTACATCATATTTTTCAAGTTACTTTTGGAGACCTCTTTTTTCCATTTCTTTCCTTTTCCAAAAGAGGCAATGTAAGAAAACTATTTGATGGTATGTACTCACTCATATAAGGACTTTAGACACAGAGCAAAGGATCACGCCTATAATCATACCACCAGAGAAGCTAGGATGCAAGGAGGAACCTAAGAGAATCACACAAGGTTCCACACAGAAGGGGAAAGGGACAAGATCTCCTGAGTATATTGGGGGGGGGCAGTGAGTGGAGAAGGAGTTAGGAGAAAGAGAAGGGGAGAAGCGGAGGGGAGAGGAGAACATGAGGGACCAGGAAGACTGAGTGTGGGGATGAATAGAAGGAGCCATTATAGGTTTGGAGAGAAAACTGACACTAGAGAAACGTTCAGAGATCTACAAGGATGACCCCCAACTAACAACCTGAGAAATAGTGGAGAGGCTATCTTAACTGCCCTTCCCTCATAATGAGATTGATGACTACCTTATATGCCATCCCAGAGCCCTCATCTAGTAACTGGTGGAAACAGAAGCAGACACCCACACCAAAACACTGAGCTGAACTCCTGGAATCCAGTTGCAGAGAGGGAAGGGTGATGAGCAAATGGGTCAAGACCAGGCTGGAGAAACCCACAGATACAGCTGACCTGAACAAGGAGGAGCTCATGAACCCCAGATTGATATCTGGGAAACCAGCATTGGACCAACTCAGACCCCCTGAGTGTGGGTCTCAGTTAGAAGGACTGAGCAGTCTAAGGGACCTCTGACAGTGGAACCAGGATGTATCCTTGGTGCACAAAAGGACTTTGGGAGCACATTCCCCATGGAGGGATACTCCCTTAGCCTAGAGGCAGGAGGAAGGCCTAAACCCTACTCCAAATGACTTGACAGAGTTTGATGATCCCTCCTGGAAGGCATCACCCTCCCTGTGGAGTGGGGGGGAGGAGATGGGAGGGGCAATGGGGGAGGCAAGAGATCGATATGTAAAATAAGAAAAAATAATAAAACTAAAAAGTTAAAAAAAACTATTTGAATAATTAAGAAATAATATGATTTTCTTTGTGTAGTATACATACACATTTAATATGTAATACTTTGCATAATATATATGTATATATACATATAGATGGTATGTGTTATATAATAAAATATTACTATTTATATCCTTCTTATTTGGCATTGTATAGGAATACAAAGCAGTTTCTTTTCTTTTCTAAGCTGTAACCCAGCATTTATTTATTTGTTTGTTTGTTTATTCTTTTTTATATGCATTGTGTGAGGGTTTTGGATACCCCTGGAACTGGAGTCACAGACAGTTGTGAGCTGCCATGTGGGTGCTGGGAATTGAACCCGGTCCTCTGGAAGAGTAGACGGTGCTGGTAACCTCTAAGTCATCTCTCCAGTCCCTCCATGGGATCTCCCATCCAAGTATTTGGGTGTGTTCAGGGTGGTCTGGCTGTAGCTGCAAGGCAGTTTCTTTAACTCAGTATGAAGCCTATTGGATTTTTTATTTATTTTACTTTTTGTGTACATATCTCTGTGTGTGAGCACAGGCTCTTGTGTGCTGCTGAGCTTGTGTACTATGGTAGGTGTGTGGTGGTTAGAGGACAGCTGTCAGGAGTGAGTGCTCTCCTGCTGTCTCTGAGGATCTGGGAGTAGAAGTCAGATCATTATCTCTGGGCACAGGGGTTCTACCTTCTAAGCCATCTTGCCAGCCCAGGATTGAAGCTCTTAAATGAAGACTTTCCCATGTATATTAATTCAGCCTAATTATGACAAATATTTGTGTATATTGTGTATGTATTGCTAACTCAGAGGTAGAGAATTGAACATTGGTTATAACAACCCATTTTCTTTCCTGTAGTGCATACACAGATATACACATTACAGAAAACAGATGTCTAGCCATTAAATGAGATGACAATATTGGAATAGTGATGCAATCCTTGCATTCTTTATATACATGCATATGTGTAATTTATAGCCAGTGCACATGAGATCAGTGTCCTTTTAGAACCATAGTTACAGCAATTAAATATTACAAACATATGCTGTTCATTTTTTCTGTGGCAGGTAGCTAAGATAGCCAGCCAACACAAAGAAACGCTTTGTTTATGCTCACAAGATTAGGGGTTTGTCTGAGGTTGCTTGTCCTCCTTCTTTGGGCTTGTGATTGCACATGGAGGTGACAATGTGAGGCAGAGCAGAAGTACTCATCTCATGGAAAAGAACTGAAGCCAAGAGTCCTGCAATTCCCATTGTGGCCACATTCCCCATGACCTACAGAGCTTCTGCTAGACCCCATGTCTTCAATTTCTGCTTGCCCATACTTGAACCAAGCTGGAGAACAAACTTTGAACACACCAAACTTTTGGATGACACTTAACATAGAAATTATAGCAAATTTTTGTAAATTTTAGCTGCACACTCAACTTGAAAAAAAAACAAAAACAAAAACAAAAAACCATGAATGTGATTTTGATTGAAAATTTATGTGCAAAATGAGAAGTAGTGTTGCTGAAATAATTTTTTAATTTCAATTGTATGTTCAGGTTCTTTGACAATATAACCTTAAAATGTGAGTAAAATTTCTTTTCTAGGTCTAACTTAATGGCAGAGTATCTTGGAGGTCTGTAGTTTGGGTCCCATGAACACTGCCATTGCTGTCAGTCTGTTCACTAGAGAACACATCTCATTGCATAGAAAAGAATCAGCAGGATACCTTAGATTCATAGAGCAGCGATTGTGTATCTGTAAAATGAATACGCTAGTTCTTAGTAAGTTTCCTTCTAGGTGGATAATCCATCTAACTGTTGCTTTTCTATGTCTCGATGCTTCTGTCCTCTTGTCAGGGATAGTGGATGTACAGCTTACCTAAGGCTGCCTCATGATAATGCCTAACTTGGAGAGGAGGGCTACTTTATATGTCTGCTGGTTTGCTTATTTCCACCTCGCTTTATGCTTCCCAGACCATTAGTAGCTTTTAGATTTTTAAAATCTTAACTTTAGAAAAAATGCTCTTTTGCAACAGGATTTCATTCTGTTATCAGTGTCCTTAGCAGTTTTAAGAATATCTTGGGACCCCTTGAGTTTATATTATCACCCATCATGGAAACACAAAAGAATGCCAATTAAAGACCCTGCAGAATAATGTCCATATCCTAATCCTTAGAACCTATTCCTTTGGATTAGGCAGTGAGAGAATTCTAGATTATATGGATTGGCTGTCACAACTGAGTGACCCTAAACTCACACAAACAGAAAGTAAACCTTTTACCTGATTGATGTTTCACTACAAAGAAGACTTGTATTTTTTATGGTAAGATTTTGCTGGTATCATATGCTAGTTTCTTTGCTTATTTATTTGAGATAGATTATCCTATGTAGATCAGGCTGTTTTTCAACTCACAGTCTACCCATTTGGCCTCCTGAGTCCTGAGATTATGGGGGTGTGTTCCCAGACCTAGCTGTTAATGTCTACTTTAACTTTCATCCAGGGAACCATTGATAAAGTACAGATGGTAAAAATACCACAAAGACAGGGTCATTTCATTTCCATGCCATTTAATGTTTCTCCTTTGTTTTTGTGAGCTCTTTGTAATTCTCCAGCTGTATTTTATATATTATTAAATGAGCTTTTCTCTCCAGCTTTCTAGATTTCTTTTACCATTTCTTCTGTTTGGACTACTGTTTTGTGTCTTCATTCTGTATTTTTCATCTTGACAAGTATCTCTTTCACTTCAAATTTGCTTTTCTTCCTTGCCTAGTCTTCATTTATTTTCGTAAACACTTTTTGCAGAAGTTTGGCATTATGTAACTCAAAATCCCTCTTTAGACTCAGAGGTGTGTGTGTGGGGGGGGGTGGTGGTCAAGGCTGCCAGGCTGGGAGCGCCCAGTCTCATTTACAGGGGCAGTTTCTTTGTGTTTTGTTTCTTATGAACTCTCCTCCTTTCCCCTTCATTCCCCTCATTGTAGTTTATCTTTAGTTGTTTGTTTTCCTCTGCTCTTCTCCACTTTAGGAATTTTGATAAATTTTCTTGTGCATCCAATATTTCTTTCTTTTTTCTTTTCTCTTTTTTGTTTCATTTAACGGGTCCACGATTTGTTATGTAATGGCAAGAATTCCTTCAGAGGATTAAACAAATCATTATAACAGTAGGATTCTTTGGTCTGTCAGGTATGTGCTACTGTGAAACCATTTGTCTTTTCTTTTTTCTCCATGAAAATAGCAATTGGTAGATTGGACATTTAATGATTTGGAAGCAGTATGTGATTACTTAAATTTGGCAATCCTCCATATGAAATATACTTAAAAGATAACAGCATAAATTAGTAAACACACATAACCCATGTGTATAGAGAATAATATGAGTGCAGAGTTTTGCCTGCAGTCATCATGTTGCCCCCCACCCCTACCCCCACCCCCAGACAAGCTCAAACAGATCTGTGGTGCTGGACATTTCCTAATGATGTGTTTTGGCTTTGCCAGGTCCAAAGGACAATAGCTAAGCAAATTCAGATGGTGAAGCAAATTGGAAAGGGTCGCTATGGGGAAGTGTGGATGGGCAAGTGGCGTGGAGAGAAGGTAGCTGTGAAAGTGTTCTTCACCACTGAGGAAGCCAGCTGGTTCCGGGAGACGGAGATATACCAGACGGTCCTGATGAGGCATGAAAACATTCTGGGTGAGTCACAGTCTACATAGTGATAGTTGGGGTTTCGTTGCATTCTTCTGTCTTTCTCTCCACATCTGCATGTGAACTCATCTGTCTAGACCTGTTATGAAACTTACAGGCTCTTTCTTTTGGGTATGAGCCCAGAGCCCTTATGCTTCTGACAGAAGATGTCACAGAAGTGGGTGGGTGGTAGGCTGGAAATGCCATACTCACCAACGATGTATTCTTTTTTCTTCTTCAGAAACAGGAAGTAGCAATGAAATACTAGAATTCCTTCAGGTTTTGTAAGGGATTTGAAGGACCATGTTTTGGTTCAAATGGTATGAAAAGCTATAGGTATTTTTATTTGCAGATATTATTTGTAGCAAGAGCTTATGTTCAGAATTGATTTCCTTTTCCTTTCCTCAGGCTAGACGTGATCTGGCTGGGTCGCTTGAGTAAGAGAATACCCAGTCAGTGATGTAGAAGGCCTGACTCAAGCCTTTCATACAGCATGCCTTGCTTGTAACTATAACACCATAAAGGGATGTCAATAGCGTTGATTGAAGAAGAGCTTCAGATCCAAACTCATGTCTTTTCTTTCTCCCTCCAATTTTGATCACCTCTGCTTGATATTAGTAGTTTAGCGCTATCATAGGCATAGTCAGAAAACCAAGGAAGATGCTTAATCAGTGATATCTGGGGAGAAAGAATATTTGAGCATTTGAGTTATTCCTCATTCTGTCCAGGAAGCACTTCTAATCCTTTTCATTCTTTTGCCTTTTAGGGTTTATTGCTGCAGATATTAAAGGGACTGGGTCCTGGACTCAGTTGTACCTCATCACAGACTATCATGAAAATGGCTCCCTTTATGACTATCTGAAATCTACCACACTAGACGCGAAGTCCATGCTGAAGTTAGCCTACTCTTCCGTCAGTGGCCTATGCCACTTACACACGGAAATCTTCAGCACTCAAGGCAAACCAGCAATCGCCCACCGAGACTTGAAGAGTAAGAACATCTTGGTAAAGAAGAATGGAACTTGCTGCATAGCTGATCTGGGCTTGGCTGTCAAGTTTATCAGGTTAGTGTCCAAGTCAACAGAGACCCACTGTAAGATTCCCCGTGAGTGTTCAATGATGTTTTCTCATGGCAGTAGAGACTCTAACTAAGATGATGCCCGAGAAACTTCAGTATAACATTCGTAAGTATGGGGAGGTTTCAAGAAGTACCAGCAGCTGTGTGGTGGGGAAGGCCATGCTTTATTTGTGTTGGTGTGTAATATAGTAAGGACTACTACATAAATGTTTGCACTATAACCAAGGAACAAAGCAGCTGCTATTCAGCATTGTTACAATGTGGCTTAAATAGGAACACAGCACCCCTGGACACACATGCCCAGACTTGCTGAGGGTGGTATAAAGACCTTGCAGGCTCCTCGGTAAGCTAATAGCCCTTATATAGTAGGGAGCATTTCACACTCAGGAGCTGGAGCGCTCTTTCTCTTTAATAAGATTAGCCCCTTTTAATCTAGGACATGTGTCCAATAATGAAACCCAATACAAAGTCGCAAACTTTAAACATTATTATTGCTGAAGCTATTGCAATTTTGTTTTTGTAATTCAGTTGCCTAATTCTCCAGTCTGAACTTTGTAGACTCTGCAGCATCTTATTGCAATGGGAAAGGTTGGACATAACAGGTGGAAACAAGAGAGGAAATGGTTCCTCCTGTAATATGAAAAAAAAAAAAAAAAGGGAGGGTTCATTTGGGAGATAGTGGTGAAGAAACTTTTGCTTTACCACCTGTAGAATACTCATCCAGGCTAACCCTTTAATGCATACATGTGTGGGACCCTACTTGTCAATATTTTCCAAGGAGGATTCTACAGCGTGTAGACAGAAGTAAGGTGAGGAGATCTGAGCTGTGATTTAATAATGAATAAGTGGAGGGCTTTGCCATTTAGAGATAACAAACAAAAGTTAAACAAAGAAAGCGAATTGTGCTATAAATATGAGTTTGAGACATGCATGTCACACTATTTAGTAATTTAAAGTATTAATTCTACTTCCTTTTTAGAATTTGTTTTTGTGAAAGGCAACCCTTTTCAAGTCTAATCTATAGCAAGCAGACAGACATATGTAATAAGTAATTCATCTGCTGTGCCTCTAGTTACCAGACCCTACTCCTCTCCTGGTTATATTTCTCCAAAGCAGTTCCAGAGGTAATAGTCTTCTTCTATCCCCTCCCCTGCTCTCTTGAGAAACCATCTTGGTGTGCAATAGACGCCTTAGCTCATTGAGACACCACTGCCCGTGGTGCCCAAAGTGTTCTCAGTGTCGTTGCAAAATATGTGTTTGTGCTGCAGGCTCCATCTGCTCCTGAGAATGACTCTACTCATCTTTCGTCTTTAAATGTTTTTCACTGTGAGATTCCCAGCTGTATCTGACCTTTCTTCTAGCTCCGAGTTTGACTACACCATGTTCAAACACAGAGTGCCTGATTTTTGACTTGTACAGTTGAGTGAGTTCTATCTTCATGAAACTCATGATTTACCTTAGTACAATGATTAACCCCACTATACTATTTCAGCTACATCCTTAGGTAAAACATTGTACAGTTACTTCCTTTCTGTCCTTTTGCTTCCCAGTCTTTTCTTCAGGCTGAAGAATTTATTTTCTTGAAGTGCAATCTGAGTGTAATCATAATGTCAGTGCTTCCTGTGGCCTTGGGTTTAAATGTAGTAAGGGTCCCTTGCTGCGGTGAACTCTTTTCTGAGCTTGGGCTTTTCTAGAGATTTATTCCCACCCGGTGCTTACATCTTCCTATTCATTCTGAACACATTCTACTTTTCACACCCTCAAGTGCTTTTTTTTTTTTTTTTTCTAATATCTGCATAGCTTTCATCTATTTCACCACTACTGATCTTCAGAATGCATGGACATCTGTTGTTACTCAAGAGCTGCCCTATACAAAGTGTCAAAGTTTTTCTCACACCACTGCTGTGATCGCTGACTTCTTATCTCTCTTTACTGGTAGAATGGAAACCAAGCACATGTCTGTGAAAGTTCTGTCCCCATCGTCTTTGCCATGACCATAGGGGTGTTGTAAGTTTTGCATACTAGCTAACCAAATGAGTACATATGGACTATGAAAAGAAGAAAAGCATGTTATCTTAACTTCAGAGAATCTGCACATTTGGACTACACTCTTCATAACTGTATATTGTGCCCACACTCTGATTTATCTATTTGTTTTTGTTTTTTTTTTTTTTCAATACGGAACCACTGTGTTTTCTCTTCACATAGTACATGTTGCCTGGTGCTTTGCTTCTGCTTCTAGAGTCCCTAGCCTGGAGCATTCTGCCTTTCCATGTACACTTCTCCAGTCTCCAAAATTCCTCTTACTCAGAGCATCTACATGTAAGAGAAAAGATGATACCTTCCGAATTATCTGGCCCATATCTGCCTAGAGTTATCATTACTTTGAAATATACCTCATCTCCCCTACTACTCATTGGTCCTTTGAGAGCCAAGGCTTTGTCAAATCGACCATGGAATTCCCTTTTGACATGACAGAGAATTACAAATACTGCTACTGTTTTAAATCAGCAAATGTAGGGAGAGAAAAGTAAGTGAGGCAACACCATCCTTGTGGAACTTAAAGTAAACTGAGCTTTTATTCCTGAAATGTACTTTTGTTTAGGGGAATGAATCATGTGGACCCTGACTCTAGAAAGGAGGGGAGGCTCTAAAGGGATAAATTGAAACAACTTTGTTATACGGTGTCCATCCATTAAAGGAAGAGAGCATGAGGGTGCTGGTTTCACAGACTCATTTCCCTTTTCAGATGGAGGATATATTGGATCATCTCAGACATCTTTAATTTTATTTCCTATGTGTCAGAGATTTGACATCTTCCATTAGTGCAGGGTTTAAGCCTTGCTTTACCCATTTCTCTAAGTTTTACCCTTCGTGGTGATTTGTGTTTTGTGTCTGTATGCATGCAGTTAAAAAGAGTGTTTTATTTCAGATGGAATCATAGCTAACCCATGTTGATAGGTAAATTTCCTGTGAGAACTTACTATTCACTCTTGTTTCTGCATGGGCGGTAAGTGGTCTCTTAGGCTTTTTGGCTAATTTCCGGAAGGATACCAGGAAACTTGAGAACCACCAAGAGCTCCATTGGTGCCTTAGGGACTTTCTGTTCATATAATACTTTTGCTCTTGTTGGCTTCTTTTGCTGATATATTTCCTGCACCAAGGAGATTTAATTCAGGTGATATCAGAAGATCCCTGATGTCACTGGGGAAGGGGAAGCAATGACACATGAAATGCCTTGAAGGAATGCACACAGCCATTGTGACTGATTCACTTAAGCAGCTCTTTAGCTCTTCACTGTCCGAGAAAACACTTTCTTATAGGAGAAATAAATCCTGGATCAGGGCATCTCGGATGTTGCATCTTAAACAGAAGACCTACAGTGATGGGGTCTGCTTTGTAGATTCCTCCCCCCCCCCTCCGCCCCACTGATATCTGTGAGTTGACCAAATCCAGAAGAGGATTGGTTCTATATAGCAGATGCTAAATTTCCCAAGCCCTTCTGATGTCATTTTCTTCAGTGCTTTTAATATATATGTTTAAAAAGCTACGGTAATTATCACATATATACATATATAGGTATATATAATGTGTTTGTGTTTACTGTAGCTTTGAAAAACTGACATCCAATTCATAGCTCATGAGTGACAGTGTCAACACTCACAGTAAATGTCTTTGCAGGTGTCCCTATCTTCCATGAAGGAGTTTTGGTTCTGAAGTCTTGAAATACATAGAGATTTTTTTTAGAAATTTGATTTTGAAACATTGTTTTAGTTCTATTGTTGTTATTGGTGGTGTAATAGAATTTCTGACAAAAGGAGACCTAAGGCTCATTTTGGCTCACTGTTTGAAGGTGCATCTACCATGACAGGAAAGCCTGAACAGTAAGGAGGTGATGAACTAGGCACTTGCCACTCACTGTCTGTAAGCAGGGAGAGAAGATAGGAATCCTACCTCTTTTTTATTCAGTCCAGGTCTCCAACCCATAGAATGGTGCCACATGTAGTGTGGGTTGTCTCACCTTATCAATTCCTCATAGACATTCCCAGAGGATATTTTGTTTTTGTTTTTCCCCTGGGCAATTCTAGAATCTGCTTTGTCAATAAATATTAACCATCACGAGCATTGAGCCCCACTGAAAATACTGTAGAAAATGTTTCACACCCAGGGGACTTATGATGTACAGGGGTCAGCTGAGTAAACTGGTTCCACAGTCACTGGGAAGATAATACAGGAGACACAAACGATGTGTGCATGCTTCTGTGTAAGCCTTGCATGTCACACTTCTGGTGCATTCAATTTGACAAGAGATTTACTATTCCTTCATGTACTTCATCTACAGTTTCAGACATCAATGGTGAGTGTTATTCTAACGAGTGCCTCTTTCACACATCTTCTTGTCACATGTTCTTCCAGAGTGTTCCATGGGTTATTCAAGATGTTCAGGGTTTCCCTCTCCCTGGACTTCTCTCCTTCTTTCCCGAGTTAGGCATCAGTGGTTTCCTGTTGAAGGGTCCGCCCCCACCCAGGTGCAGAAGGGCAGGGAGTATAGTCCCTGCTGGTTTACCTCTCCATTCCTGCTTGTCTCTCATTGCCACAGTGGCTTCTGGAAACACATGTCCAGAGTTTGTCTCCCTGGAGAATGTGCACTGTGGTGAGCTACATAGCAGAGTTTTCCATTACTAGCTCTTCTTGCCAGAATTCCTGGTGCAGACCTGTGATTGGGAAGCTTAATTAATATAAGAAATATTTAAAGTATAATAAAGCTAGCAGAGGCATTATTTAAAAGCCCCTTATTCTCCACTGAGCACCTAAGACACGCCTTCTCACTAGGCCTATGGGTGTTCAAGGATGTCCCGCAAGTGCTGAACTTGTGACTGAGTTGGCCCAGATAAAACAGTGCTCTGACTGCCCTGAGAGAATGAAGCCAGTTAAGGTCTTTATTTTCCCCATGAGACAATATTCTGAATGAAGTCAGGGGCAGCATGCACTTCCCAGTTGTGTGCTTGGCTGCCCCGATCCTTTTGGCATAGTCTTCCTGCCACCTTCCTGTCCTGCCCATATCTCATCATCACCGGTCTTTCTCTGCATCTCCTGCTTAACACACACAGTGTTAAATTCCCCCTCCCATTGCCTCCCTTCCTACTGGAGGCAGTAGCCAGGAGAATTCCCACTGACGCTTCATCATCCTGGTCTACCAAGAACCACTTGATCCCAGCACTCAGGAAGCCCTCTGTCATCCCTGTCAATCTCCTTCTCCATTTAAATAAAAGAAACTTTATATTAAATTCTTTGTGGACTTCACACCATGCATCCTAACCCTTCAATCCACCTCCTGCCCCTTCAACTCCCCACCCGCCGAATAATAGAATAAAAATAAGAAAAAAAAAACCTTGTCATGGAAGCCGTCATGTGGCCCAGTGAGTCAGTCACACATCTTTGCTTACAAGTGCTCATTGGTCTGCTACACTGTGACACTGAGTGTCATTTGTTATCTTCACTGGGACTCCTCTTGTTTATCCTGTTATTGCCCTGTGTCATGGAGATCCTGCAGTTTTTATCAGCAAGACCAGCCCTTTCATGTGCTCCAGCAGTTCATAGATGGGGTGGATGTTGGGGTGGGCCAACTCATAGCCCTGGCTCTGGGCCTGTGTGGGTTGGTCAGCCCACCAGCTCTCCTCCATCCTCATCATCCTCGCCAGCTTTCTATCATTGCCCCAGCTAGGTCACCCAAATGTAGCAGGCAGCAAGGGCCAGGGCTGGTTCTTCTGCTCTTCCCCTCACGGCTGGCTCATCCACTCCCGGCTCACCCATGCCCATACCACCATGGTCAGCTCTACTGTGTTGCCCAGGCAAGTGCACTCCAGAGTACTACAGCTAGTGAGGGCCAGGGGCGGTTCTACAATGGCCAACAGGCAGTAAGGAGTGGGGCCAGTTTTCCTGCTCTCAGATCCTAGGCCTGACTTATTCACACACACACAATCCCAGTACTTAGGCAGAGGCAGGCTAACCTCTGTGAAGTCGGTCAAGGCTACATAGAGAATCCCTGTCTCAAAAAAATAAAAACCAGAAAAAAATTCTCTGTGTTCACATTTGGGACATCCAGCCAGGATTCCCAGGAACTCATTTCCTTTTTGACATACCTTCTTTACATTTCTCACACACTTGAAGAAAACCCGTCTTGCAGTAATACCTTGACATACCTACTAATGTATTTTAAATGTGCCTTGATTTATGCCTCTCTTTGTTATGCAAAACTTTGTAACCACTTCCACATTGGAGTTTGGAACATGGAGTTTGGAAAAACCTAAATTGTTCCTGGGTCATCATCAGTCAAAATAAACTACCCCTTGTTCGCTTGAAGATGAGAGCTGAGGCTTTTGCATCGACATTATTAATCTTTAAATTACATTTATTTTCTAACTCTGCTTAAGTTTATAACCCCTTGGTACACCCATTAAGAAGAACAAAAGCTTGGTTGGGTCTAGTGGGAATATTAATTATGAAATTATATCTGAGACAGCCTCTGTCTCCATCGCTAGCTTCTGGGATTAACCCCACTGTTCTCCACGGGAAAGGTAAAGAGAACCTCCTACCTTTCTCCATGGGAAAGCTAAAGAGCTTATATTTCCTTAATATTTAATGCAGAAGCCACATTTATGACAGAGTATTTTCAGTTCTTAGCATAAATCCATTTTCTTAGCTAATTTTAGCCAGCAAATCACTTGAATTTCAGGGTCTTATTCCTATAGCTTACTTGTCCTTAGTCCTTGAAATATAGCCTTTCCAGTCATTTACCCTGATAGGTTATATTAAATCTACTTTTGGTATGTTTGATAATGCACATTTATATTTGTTTTATAAACTTAAATAAGACATTTCAAAGGGCAATTGTATTACAGTTTAATAGTAAGAAATGATAACAGCTTGCCTCATTTTCTCTAGCCTTTACAACAGAAATCAAATGTTGAATATAATCATTTCCCTTCCATATTTTGTTCCTTTTTATGTCTCCCAGAAGCAACCAATATCCTGTTTGTATTTCCTGTGTACAGTCTTATGATTTGATAACTCATATGTAGCATCTGCAGTTACTCTGTGCAGTGGAGTTACTCTGCCCCTGTAACTTTCTTACAATATGCATCTTTTCTTGCTGCCTTTTTTTCCTCACTGCTCTGCGCTCCTCCATGGGAAAGGAGGGTATGATAAGCTGGAGGTCCCTGACCTTGTCGGCTCCCCTCTTTGCCTCTGACCTTTTTTCTGTGACCCTCTTTTTACCCTCATCTCATATGCATTGCGGCTTCTGAATCCACTTTCTTCTTTATTCCTTTATTTTTGGCATGTCATTTTTGGTCTTAAGGATTAATAGAAGCTCATTTTTTTTCTCTTCTATTACATGAAGACAGGTGTAATCCTACTGAAAGTCAAAGAGGTGGCCTGTATTTACTTTCGTTTGATTTATTTTGAGACTATAACTTAATTACAACATTTTCCCCACCTCTTTCCTCCCTCCCATCCTTTCTATATACCTAATCTTCTCCAAAATATTGGCCCTTTTTGCATTGCTTGTTATGGTGTGTATATATTTGGATATGCATACATATTCCTAAATATTACCTATTGAATCCATATAGTGATACTTGTGTGTTTTCACAATGGACAGTTTGAACTGGACAACAGATTAGTAAACTGTATCCTGGGGACAACCACTTTTCCTGCTTCCAACTTTAATTATTTGCCTATACTCCTCTGTGTATGGTTCATGGCTACATGGACTTTTCCCCAACCAGTTTACATGTTCACTGATGTCATCCTTGTTCAGCTCATGCTTGAGGTACAGCCTCTGATGTTACTAGAAGACACAATCTCACAGCACAGTCCCTGATCCTCTGTTCTTTCTAACATAGAAACACACCCAACAGAAAGAGGCAGGGCTCTAGCTTGGAGAATAAGAAATCTGATAGTTTCCAGGAGTTTCCTGTAATTAACATGTTTGCTATTTAAATGTGATCCTAAAAACATTTACCATTACGTTAACAGTAATCCTTCATAAAATCAGTTTGCCCAGTAAAATCACTCTCACTGTCTGCATATTAATTCCAATTCATTTTTGTGATATAAGTGTGTGTGTGTGTGTGTGTGTGTGTGTGAGAGAGAGAGAGAGAGAGAGAGAGAGAGCTTTACATTTCTTTTTAAATTATCCATAGCAAAGGTTACATACTTTTAGCAGGCTTTTCATTTCTTCCTACTATTTGCAAACTATGCAATGAGTGAAGATGAATTAGAACACTCATCTTCAGGGTCATACCAAATGACTACAGTAGATATTCAAGGCTTACACAAACTTGAAGTCTTTGCATTGTTAGATACTTATTCAAATACTTCTAGTGAAGATAATTTCTGCTAATCATAGGGAAGATGCTATTCAGGTACTACTGGGCGACACGGGGGTGAAGGAAGGGGAGGAGGCATGGCCATCATAAGCATGTGGGAGGAGCTGGTGCCTCAAGGGATGGACCGTGAGAACCTTGATCATTTTCTGTTAGACCAGTTGACAGGAGAAGTGTTAGAGATGAAGGGGAAGAGTCTAGAATCAGATCTTACTGGCATCGTTTTGTAGTAGTTATCTTTCTATTCCCCAGCAGAGATGCATCTTTATCTCACATTCACCAACCACTGCCTGTCCTCCTAGACCCACATAAACATAAGGAACTGTAAGAGTGGATCTGTCAAAAGTCTTCATCCCCTGGGCTACAATGTATCCCCAGCTTTCCTGATATACTCTTGGGTCCTAACCTAAGAGGGTTCTTGCTTTCCTTTCTCAGTATATATTCTTGGTTACTATTAGAGCCTTTAGATATTTTTTCTTGTATTTTTTTCTGTCTAAAACCTAAAATTCCATAACTGGGACCACTATTTTCTGATTATTAAAAATGATACATTGTAACACACCCAGACATGTCCATGAAATTCCCCTTTTGTACTCACATAATAGTTGTCAGCAGACATAAGAAACTTTTCTTTATTAGTTCTTTGAGAGTTACCAGTTGCATACAGTGTGTTAGGTGATGCTTTCCCTTCTGACATTTTTTTCTAGCTTGCCTTTAAGCCTATTCCTGGCATACTTTTCTCCCTCATAAACTATTGCTAAGATGTTAAAGTGAAGTTGATAGATGTGCTTACTGTTATGAGAGCAAATCGATTAAAATGTACAGAGAAGGAAGGCACATTTTAGGTATTAGTTTGCCACTTTTTATTTAATTTTTGAGACAGGTTTCATGCAAGTCAGCCTGACCTCAAATTCATTACATAGTTGAGGCTGGCCTTGAACTCCTGATTCCCTTGCATCCCATGCATTTGGTTTACGTGTGTACAACTTTTATTAGATATTCAAAAAGAGTTAATAGTTTATTTTGTATTCATACTATTGTGTGTGTTGGGGCTTCATTCTCATTTAGTTGCATGTGGTCTGGATGTTTGATCTTGGAATGTTTAATTTTTTGTGGAGAAATATTTTTTGAGGAAAAGTTTTGTTCACTCAAAGTCTCTCTTGGCATCGTCATTGACATGCTCTTTCAGAGAGCCATCCAGTGCTGATGATGCCTTGTTTTGCTTTCCCTCAGTGATACAAATGAGGTTGACATTCCACCCAACACACGAGTTGGCACCAAGCGCTATATGCCTCCAGAAGTGTTGGATGAGAGCTTGAACAGAAATCATTTCCAGTCTTATATCATGGCTGACATGTACAGTTTTGGACTTATCCTCTGGGAGATTGCAAGGAGGTGTGTTTCTGGAGGTAAGAAAGAAACATCTTTGAAAATCTACCAATCCTGGGAGATGTTTGCAAACCCTTTCTGATCACAAGTGATTAAAGTTGGTGTATTGGATACAGTCTCAGATGGTCTTTCCCTCTCCCCATTATTCCGTTGATGCAGTCTCCAGGATATACCTATTAAAACCATCTTTGAGTGGCTGTCTTCCCCCCTTTCCAGACAAGTGAATGTTCTAGACTCAGTGCCAGTTCCCCTGGCCTGTCATACATTCCCCTGTTTGGCTTTCAGCATCTCACTTCCAACAGTTGCTCCAGCAAGTCAACACCCTCTCCTACCCCACTCACCTTCTTGCTGACCTGCTGGACCTTATTCCCAACCCTGCTGCCACATTCTCTGTGTTCCCTCTGTAGAGGTAGCCAAGACACAGGGAAATGTGGGACATCCATTCATGAACTATCATTATTTTTTGTCAAAAGGAAAGTAAAGGAAAATATAGTAATTGTTCATGATAATTTTCCCACAAGGGTAAGAATTCCTGATAAGATCAGCTGCTTGACATGAGTTCTGGGAACCGCACTCTGGTCCTCTGGAAGGGCAGTGAGTTCTTTTAACCACTGATCCATCTCTTCAGCCCCTCGTTCTGTCTGTCTCATGTAGTTTGTATATCTCCCTTACCATCCCTGATCCATCCATGTAATGAGTTAAATAGATACAGTCTTCACCCTCAAGATGAAGGTCAATGTCTTAGAGTTAGAGAGTGCTCAGATGAAGTGACATCTGCTGTGAGCTGAGCCCAGTATTTCATTACCCTGTGTACTGAGATGACAATGAATCAAATAGAAGAATAAGAAACATAGATCTGCTGGGTATTGGTGGTGCATGCATTTAATCCCAGCACTCGGGAAGTGGAGGCAGGTGCATCTCTGTGAGTTCCAGGCCAGCCTGGTCTATAGAGCTACTTCCAGGACAGTCTCCAAAGCTATACAGAGAAATCCTGCCTGGAAAGACAAAACAAAACAAACATAAAGCAACAGCAACAACAAAAAACCAACAAAAAAAAAGAAGAAGAAAAATGAAAAAGAGAAACACGGATGTGATATACTAGTGCTGTGTAATCGCAGCACATGTCTACAAGTGACAAACAGGCCGTGAGTTTGAAATGCTTGAAAAATGTTTTGACTCTCTGGGTCACTTATATTTTATATGAGTTTGAATTTACAACAACCACAACAACAAAACATATACCCCAGATTATAAATCCACAGGGAAATGTATTATTGTTATTGGTTTGTTTGTTTTTTTTTTTTTTTTTTTTTTTTGTTTGGTTTTTGTTTTTTTTTTTTTTTTTTTTTCTTTTTTCTTTTTTTGAGACAGAATCTCACTATGTAATTCTGGTTGGTAAAGCATGCTCTCTCTATGTAGTCCTGCCTACCCTTGAACTCAGACCTGTAAACTTTCTGTGCTAGGTTCCCTAGTTCTAATAGGTATATAGCATCTTTCTAATGGATTTAATGTGCTAGCAGATAATCTTAGGACTTGACGGTCTCATCTTGTTTAGGTGAACAGTGAGAGTATTCTACCAAAAGTGGCTTAGGAAAGACTTTGGGAGGTTGTTCAGAAACCCTTTCCATCATTAGAGGGCAGAGGTTACTTAGAGTACTACAAGGACCTGATTAGATAAAGTTGAAAAATAACATGCTAAAATAACCTGCCTACATTAAAGGATGGGGCAAAACCCAATCTAAAGTAAAATTAGTTATTAGACAGGCTGAGGTAAATAAAATAGAAAATTTAAAACAGAAAAGGGAAATCAGATAATCTTCAAACCTAAGATGAATCATGGATGGTACTTTTGAATATACAACTTTTCAATGTTGAATGTGCAAAGCTTCTTATGATTAAACACAAATAACTGAATCTGACATTTAAGTGGGATACTCTTCCAAACTTCTGATGTTCTTGGTCTCATATGCCAGTAATAGAAGCAATTACATATGATTCAAGATGTGTCTTCTAATTTTACATTGAGACTTAATATGGACTTAAAAATATAACTAGTTCATGCAAATTGTAGATACTTAGCTTTTGGAAATTAGCTGTTGCTTGGGGGAAGGCTTGAGGACCCATGATATTACATGTCACTGGCTTTCCTCTTCCCATGTTTAAAATTGATAGTTTATTTTTCAAATGAGTAAAGTTGTGTGTTACCACACAACTACCAGTTTATAAGAAATAATATTAATTTAAAAAAAAAACTTTTCTTTAGGTATAGTGGAGGAATACCAACTTCCCTATCATGACCTGGTGCCCAGTGACCCTTCTTATGAGGACATGAGAGAAATTGTGTGCATTAAGAAATTACGGCCTTCGTTCCCCAATCGGTGGAGTAGTGATGAGGTAAGACCAGCTTTGTGGGTAGGTATGACTGACGTCTAAATACACTTTTGTTTTTCCAAACTTTTTCCCTCTTTTCTTTTTATTTAGCCTATATGTCTTTTACATCATTTATTTTTATTCCATTCTTGTTCCCATTCCTTCCCATCCCCCTCCATCCCTCCATTTCCCCAATAAAACAAAATTTAAGAGAAGAAAGAGAAAAGAGAGTATTAAAAATCTCATCACAGGAGCTGCAGTCAGACAAGTCAAGCAGTAAGCACCTCTGTCCATGTACCTTTATTTGCAAGTGTTACTACAAAGAGTCATTCATTGGTCTGTTTGAGGCATCTGGTTTCTCCTATACTGTTGATGTTGGGCCCTCACTGCAACTCCTCTTGGATATCCTGTTGTTGCCCTGTGTTGTGGAGATCCTGCAGCTTTGGTTCTGTGGGTCAGGTTCCTCCATGTGCTCCAGCTTACCGTAGATGGGGTGGATGTTGAGGCAGGTCAAGTCATAATTCTGGTTCTAAGCCTGGGCAGCTGCAGGGTTGGTACTTGCCAGTTCCCCCCTGTCCTCACCACCAGGGGGAGCTGTCCATCATTGCCCCAGGTAATTCACCTCTTGCAGCAAAGAGCTAAGAGTAGGGCCAGTTCTCCTGCATGAAAGCCCTCAGAATGGGATCTCCCACACCTACACCTTCAGGGCCAGCTCTACTGTGTTGCCCAGGTGAGGCACTGGGCCACTCTCCTGAGTGATGTACTGTAAGGGTTAGGGGCAATTCTCCCACTCTTAGGACCCCATTTCAGTTCCTCCCCCGTCTCAGGTATTAATGGGCAGGGGGTGGGGAGGAGGGCATGCCCTCTCTGCCCAGCTGCCAAATGTCAGATATGTAATAGGGACAGCTGTCCTTTGCTCACAATCTGAGGGCTGGATCACCCTTACCTCCAGCTACCTGGCCAGCTCGGCTGTGTTGTCTAGGCAAGGAACAGGGACCATTTTCCTGAATGCTGCAGCTGGTAAGGGAGAGGATCAGCCCTCTCATCTGCTGGTAGGGGTAAGGGGCAAAAGGGGGCATCTCTCCCGACCCACACCAGTGTGTGACAGACAACTATTGGGGGCAGCACTCCCATGCTTACAACTTCAGGGCTGGCTCACCCACACCTTTCATTAATAGGGTTGCCAAAATTATTAATTTGCATCACTGAAATTCATTTTGATGGTAACAGTAATGCTATACCTCATTACAATACTTGAATATCTGTACAGCATCAAATCTATTCCTTTTTGTTTAATTTTGTCAATTATACAACATAGTGAATGGTCAAGGTTGAGGCTGCATAACAGGTCATTATTTCATATATCAACTGCAATATGTGAACAGAAGCTATTATTTGTCTCTGTGTTTTAAAGCACCGTGATTTTCTTTGTTCATGTTAAGTCCAGACCTTTCTTTCTGGAGTTTTGGTAAGCAACAGAAGCCTGGGGTTTGTATGCAATGGCATGATAAAAACGCTGGCCTCTTCAGCAAAAACAATGAGGCCTTGGTGTGAGAGAGATGGCTCTACTAGCAAAGAGGGCCCTCCTATTGTTTTACACACACACACACACACACACACACACACACACGTACACACACACACGTATGTATATGTGTATTCCTAATTACATAAATACAATCTTCTTAGGATATATAAAGTTACTTGAATGTATATGATTGTAGAGCTGGAAAAAAAAATCATTGTTCTTAGGAAAGAGCCCCTAAATTGTTTACCCAATAGGGGAGAGAGAAACAGAGAGAGAGAGAATCCCAAGAGGTTATTTGCACTAATCTGTTTACTGTAAGAGTTTAAATGTGAACCCCACATGTGTGTGGCAAGCTTTGCCAACCTGAATCAAGGGAGTGGAGCAGACCTAGACTCTGGCCTTGTGTACTGATACAGTGTCTCCGCACCCATCTCTCCTTCACTCACCCCCGGCTGAGACTCTGGCATGTTAGAAATACAAGAAGAATTTGAAGCACAGTCAGATAAAGAAGACTCTTAAACATGTACTGAGCCCATCTCCACCCTCCACACACACAAAAAAAGGTGCATAGAGCATTATTCACTATTCAAAGTAACTGGCTCATTAGCCCAGTGTGTAGTTCTTGCATTTCTACTTAGTATATGCTTTCCAAAAGCTGTGCAGAGAGCACCGTGAGATGCTGGAGTTGCATTCTTTCTTCTGAAGGAGACTGTGGGTATTGATGTCATTTGAAAGCTCTTCACTGTTGATTTCTAATGAAGGGAAATTGTGATTTGCAAAAAGAACAGTTGATAGACCACAGGCAAATCTAGGGGAAAGTTTTAACAAAGCTATGCACAGATCATTAATCTTGCTAAGTGGCACAGCATTGTTCCACTGTTAGAGCAGGCTGCAGTGATGTAGGAATAGCCATGTTTGTTTGAGCAGTACAGAATTAGATAAAATATTGAAACACATTATATGCTGTAAACAATCAGGGGCTATAGAAGAGAATACAGACGTACTAGGTATCATGTTTGCTTAATAGTGTCTTTGAAGTCATCCTTGAGTATCCTCAAAGCTTCTCTCTTTTTTTCTGTCACAGGGGGATATGAGAATCTGTGTGAGTCATCATTTCACACACAAAAAAAAGTTTGAGTGAAATTTTGTGTCCATGTTTTACTGGTGTCTTAAAAATATATTCAGACTTCGTGAACTAGCTACAAGCCAAATATTGAGCAACTTATTGCAAGTACGTTCTTCTAACATCACTCCACTCTTCCGTTCTCTTTCAGTGTCTCAGGCAGATGGGAAAGCTCATGACAGAGTGCTGGGCTCACAATCCTGCCTCCAGGCTGACAGCCTTGAGAGTTAAGAAAACACTTGCCAAAATGTCAGAGTCCCAGGACATTAAGCTCTGACATGGGATACTTGTGGACTGAGCAAGAGATTTTACAGACGCCTACATAGTCCAAGCCTTGAACATTGTCCTACTGCCCGGTGGGTTCAGACTTCCCCTCTCAGGGAACAAGCTGGACAGACACAGAACGCCCCAGAAACACAGATTCTTCATGGCTTTCTAAGGAGCGGAAACCATTTGGGTAACTTGTTCAAGATATGACTCATGTTGCTTTCTAAGAAAGCCCTGTATTTTGGAATTGCCATTTTTTTTTAAAAAAGAAACTTTAATTTTACCAAAATAAAAACAATATTGTAGATGTTTTGAGGTTTATACAACTATAGTTTAAATAATAACAAATGTTCTTTGTAGAAAATTTCCTAGAAGTCAAAATGTTTTTCCATTGGCAAAAACTTTTGCACTCTACAAATCAAAATAGTCTTAAGGACACAAATTAGAATTCATCTTCCCTGCCTCCCTGCCCCAGCCACTTCAGACTGTTTGGGCAAACCCCACTTTATGATGCCAGTTAAGTGTGAATGTACATGCATACAGGTCCCACCTACCTGGGACCACGGTTTAGAATCCTGCAGGTGGTCCTCTTGCAGCTCCAGCCATTGTGGGAAAAGGGAAGGTTTTATGTCACTAATAGAAGTATGTGTTGGTGGGTATTCTTCAGAACTGCTCTCATTTCTGGTTGCATTGGGCAGCTCCTTCAGGTAGATCCCTTCCTTTTCATTAAACAAGAGCCAAAGTTTTCTCTTGTTCAGAGAATCAGCATGTGCATGCTTTTGTTCTCAGGAATCAGAAGATCGATATTAAATAAAACCACCACGAGTGTAGTAGAAACAAGGTACTTTACAATACAAATGATTTGCGCTCGTGTTGCAACAAAACCATGCCAGCAAGGCAGGGCAGAAGTTGAGGGTGTAGATAGATGGTTCGTTCCTTATGTATGTGTAAGAGCCCATTACAGAAACACAGGGAGGTAATAATACACATCATAATTTGTATACACACAGATAGTTTTATGTTGCTGTCTTTTCTATATCTTGGATTTAAGAAGTAGAGAGGAAGCATCTGTCGGGTTAAAGTCATGAAACTTCAATTTAAAAATAAGCTTCAGGTGATTGGTTGAATAGAGAGAAGTTAATGAAAGTCATTAAACATATGGCTGGTGTGATTTATTCTGGAATAGACGTGGATCCGGTATAGACCTCTTAAATGATTATTTCACACATTATGTATGACTCATTCATCCTAATGTGCATTTCACTATTAACTTATTCTGTTTCTCCATTATGGCATATGAACAAAACAGCTTCTGATTCGGCCCTATATGGTTTTAACTTTTGACTATATGAGCAAAGTCACTACAAGCCAGGATTCCCTAGAAACAGGACTACAGTAAAGTGGGAAATGCCACATGACCCTTGCACCCTTATCCATTTATTTCCTTGCTGTGTTTCTTCCTTAATGATTTGAAATTAATTACTAGTTGTTAAGGAAAGTTACTTTGCCTCAGAAAATGACATTCCTCCCAGAATACTCCAGGGGGCAGTGTTTTCTTATACATTTCACTACTGGGTACTTGAAAGATGGAGACATTAAGAAAAATTGACAGCTGCATGAGAAATGAGGAAGTGTTTTAGTCTCTTCTGGAGTAGATGTTCAGCTGGTAGACTGTTCATTGGAAAGTTCCTGGAGCTACAGTGGCTGCCAGAGGTACTTGGGATTTGGGAACAGTGTAGAGAAGTGACCTTTCTGTCCTAATTCACTGTTCTAATTCATGGTACCACAGAACCATGTTCTGTTTTCCACTAAAAAAGAAGAATTTCTCGGTTCTTGAATTTGAAAAAATAAATAAAGCAATGCATTGCTAAGTTAACGGTCATTAGATTTTGTTCTTACTGAGGCTGGTATAAGCTGAGTCACTGAAGAGTTATTTCACTGTAAATTATATTTGCTACAGACAATTTTGCCATATATTTGTAAACTAAGTGTGTGGCAGTCATCTGGGCCCAGGAGGAAGAAACCTTAGTGCCTAGACAGGTCTACAAACACTCAAGTAAGCATTTTGCTAGTTAATTGGGTATGGTTTGATTTTTTTTTTTTTTTCTGGGTTTTCCTTAGGTCTAAGTGAGATTGGGGAACCTCTTAGGTCAAGCTGTGTTTTCTTATCAGTAGATTTTAAAACATGGATAGCTTCAAACCAGTGTTTTGTGATGAGGCTGTTTATGATGTAAAGTTTACTAGATTTCTAGGGTTCTAGTGAAAAGTGGGAGGAAACTTAAGGGTGCCCAGATTTCATCCATATTACTCATTTTATTGCTTTTGGGGAAAATAAACAGCTTATGTTCTAATTATCAACCTTATTTATTCAATATGAAAATCTTGAAATTACTGACATACTTCAAAAGTCCACTCAGTTATTACCAATTTTCAATGAAATAAGAATTTATAATTTATTTATGAATATAATTTCTGTCTTTTGAAATTCTGCTTAATAAAACTAAGTTGTTAAGGACTACCTGTTCACTTCCTAATAATCCATGCTAACTTTAGCACTTCTAGCACATCAGAAGTGAAAGCTATTTTCCGTTTTGCTTTGGCTTCTTGCAAATTAGTAATATGAGTGCTGCTTACCTTTAGGTCTATTTCAAAGAGTAAGATTTGCTCCTAATTCCTCTCTTCAAAAAGAATTCTAAATTATTAATTGTTAGATAAGCTTTGTATGTTCAAGTTTATGGTTGATGTATGTGTGTATATATTATATAAATATAGATGTATATGTAAATATGTTCATTATGGAGTCTGGCACAACTCTAGTATGTGGATTAGAGAGTAAAATATTATGGATGATGAAGTCCTAAATGAATCATAGTATTTATTTATGGAAGCATGTACATTGTTAACTCACAAATGAAGAACGTGAGCACTATGTCTGAACTCTTGGACAACGTACCCCGAAATCACTGCTGATCATTCTTTATGTTCCTCAGACAGAAAACTTCTTAGATAACATGCTAGGATTTTAGATACAGGGAATTTTTTGACACGTTTCAATTGATGTGTAGTCAAGAATAACAAGTACTCAATAATGACTGATTTACATGTTCCTAGGGTCATGAATATTCATCAGGAATTTTATATTGTTCACCTGTTCTCATACTTGTTTATGGATGGAAAGGCAGTAAGAAAATTACATTAAAAAATATTAGAACATGGTTTGGTGGTTATACCACCTCTGAATCCCCAAGTCCCCAAAACAGTAGAAATGAAAGGGGCTGCATCAAAAATGATGCAATTAGAATTAATTGTTATACAAACTAATGCCATTTTTTTTTTAAAGAGAAAAGCTGGCAATATATTGGGTGGGTTATTCTTTTCTGTTTGTTTCAAAAGAAGACTCATTTGGGTTGCTTAGGGGGAGCCAGTGCCTTATGGAATTTGTATATACTGTAATTATTCAGGGTTAGGGAACAAACAATTGTATTTGTTACAAATTTATGTATGATCTGTTTTCATATTTCTTTCAATAAATGGTGTCGTTTCCCCATAGAAAAGCCATGACTATTATAGTTGTGTCTTTCCTTTGTCTTTGAAATGACTTCAGGACAGCAAGTAGGGAGACAGCAGTGAAGGAGAGCAGACCAGGTAAGTGCACGCTCTCAGGAGCGGTGCCTTCCACTTTCTCTGTTTAGGAAACATAGTCATCTGGTGTGGGGTGGGTAGTTTGTGATTAAGGAGACATGAAGAAAGTGGAACGTTTCACTGTGGAAAACTACAGTTTACCGGGGAAACAGCCAGCTGGTCGTGGGCAGTGCTGAGGATCAGTAGAGGTTGCTAATACTAAATGTGGGGCAGCTGATCCTGGAGCTGCATGAGGACCAAGGCTCCCTCTTGCGTCGGTGGGGTGATAATAGGGTTCAGTTTGAACTTGTGAAGTCTGTTTCTTTCCCTTGAAGATGAGACCAACAGTAACTCCTATTGCATGGAGTGTTTCTGAAGATGAAATAGTGTGTGCCCCACCTATGGTGAGAACTCGGCTATTCTATTGGTTCTCAGTACAGGTTCATGGGGCCCCTTGCTTTTGTTGCTTGCAATTTATTTTTAAATCTCACTCCAGATATAGGTACAGAGACAACATCTAAGGGTTTAATCAGCAAGGAGAAGAGGAAAATTATTATCAAAGGGCTATGTGTCCTGGGCCTCCAGAGTAGAGCATAAAACACAACTACTAAAGGGGAAAAATACACCTGCCAGCGCTTGTGTAATGTGCTCGTGGTTACTGAGGAGGGGTGCGACTGAAATCCAAATGACACAGGGTGTCATCTGAGGTGGCAGGCTTAAATTGTGGCCATGGTTGCTGGTGATGAAAGCTCAGAGATTTGTTCTTATAAATTTTGAAATCATCAGGGTGGTTGCAGCTTTAAGAAGATTTGATCTTCTTGAGCTTCAAGAAGAGACCAAATTCTCCTAGGCCTATGAGAGAATGAGTAGGAAGTCAATGGGGGAAAGAGTTAGATCCAGAGATGGGCTTGAAGGACCTAAGCGTTGGAAGGGCAAGAAGTAATGGTGACAGAAGGAAGCCTCAGAATGTGGTGAGAGAGACTGGCTCTTTGTGTGTGGGAATGAGACCCTTGTTGACTCGAAAGCAACATCTTAGAAGCAGTAATCTCTCTGAAAGGGGAAAGGGGAACCAAGGTTGCTCTTCCATTGAGTGAGCATAGAGAGCAGGATGGGAAGCTTGTTTTTAAGGGTTCTATTTGAGATTGGAAAGAAAGATGTAGCCCAGGACTTTTTTTTTATTGGACATTAAGAAAGGTTCAATATAGTAACCTTGATCAAAAGGCCTGATGTTTGGTATTTTAGTCTGCTGCAGTTGTGCCAATGGAGTATGTTCAAATATTTGGGGTTCAGATTAACCTAGCTCTATTCCCTTGTTTATTTTTCATGATTCTTCAGGAATATGTAATATGAGAATCCTAATATTTTCACCTCTACCTTGAGATAAAATGCCCCCTGGAGACTATTAGAAAAAAAGATGAATATATAAAATATATAGCCACTTGTGATAGGGGCCCTTCTTTTCTGGCAGCTTTGGTAGATGTATAGCTAATGACAGTTCAAAGCCTGAGGAGGCTTCCTGTTCTCCAACTTCTGTGTGTTGTGGTTCAAGCTGAACTTCTCACAGGACTCAAAGGCAAGTATCAAAACTGGCCTGAGTAATGGGTTCTTCTTTTTTTTTGGGTCACTTTATATATGCCA